ATAATAATAATCACAAAGACGATAGAAGTCCTCATTCGCGTGATACTTTTGTTGGGGTTATGTAAATGAGGGTGATATAATTATATGACAAAGATAATCATTATTATAAAAACGAGAGAAGTTCGCATTCATGTGATAGGACAGTAGTTTTTGGTTGGAGTTTATGACAAGAATAATTATAATCACAAAGACGATAAGAGTTCTCATTCGCGTGATAGGACCATATTTCTTATGTCGGGGTTATTCAAAATAATGAGGGTGATATAAATATATGACAAAGATAATAATTATCACAAATGCGAGAGAACTTCTCATTCACGCGATAGGACAGTAGTTTTTGGGTGGAGTTTATGACAAGGATAATAATAATCACAAAGACGATAGAAGTTCTCATTCGCGTGATAGGACCATATTTCTTTTGTCGGGGTTATGTAAATGAGGGTGATATAAATTATGACAAGAATAATAATAATCACAAAGACGATAGAAGTCCTCATTCGCGTGATAGGACCATATTTCTTTTGTCGGGGTTATGTAAATGAGGGTGATATAATAATATGACAAAGATAATCATTATTATAAAAACGAGAGAAGTTCGCATTCATGTGATAGGACAGTAGTTTTTGGTTGGAGTTTATGACAAGAATAATAATAATCACAAAGACGATAAGAGTTCTCATTCGCGTGATAGGACCATATTTCTTATGTCGGGGTTATTCAAAATAATGAGGGTGATATAAATATATGACAAAGATAATAATTATCACAAATGCGAGAGAACTTCTTATTCACGCGATATGACAGTAGCTTTTGGGTGGAGTTTATGACAAGAATAATTATAATCACAAAGACGATAAGAGTTCTCATTCGCGTGATAGGACCATATTTCTTATGTCGGGGTTATTCAAAATAATGAGGGTGATATAAATATATGACAAAGATAATAATTATCACAAATGCGAGAGCACTTCTCATTCACGCGATAGGACAGTAGTTTTTGGGTGGAGTTTATGACAAGAATAATAATAATCACAAAGACGATAGAAGTTCTCATTCGTGTGATAGGACCATATTTCTTTTGTCGGGGTTATGTAAATGAGGGTGATATAAATATATGACAAGAATAATAATAATCACAAAGACGATAGAAGTCCTCATTCGCGTGATAGGACCATATTTCTTTTGTCGGGGTTATGTAAATGAGGGTAATATAATTATATGACAAAGATAATAATAATCACAAAGAAGATAGAAGTTCTCATTCACGTGATAGGACAGTAGTTTTTGGTTGGCCGATTTTATGACAAGGATAATAATAGTCATAAAGACGATAGAAGTTCTCATTCGCGTGATAGGACCATATTTCTTTTGTGGGGGTTATGTAAATGAGGGTGATATAAATATATGACAAAGATAATAATTATCACAAATGCGAGAGAACTTCTCATTCACGTGATAGGACAGTAGTTTTTTGTTGGATTTAATGACAAGGATAATAATAATCATAAAAACGATAGAAGTTCTCATTCGCGTAACAGGACCATATTTTTTGGTTGTGGTTCATGTAAATGAGTATGATAATACAGTATGTTTGGCAAAGATAATAATTATCACAAATGCGAGAGAACTTCTCATTCACGTGATAGGACAGTAGTTTTTTGTTGGATTTAATGACAAGAATAATTATAATCATAAAAACGATAGAAGTTCTCATTCGCGTGATAGGACCATATTTCTTTTGTGGGGGTTATGTAAATGAGGGTGATATAAATATATGACAAAGATAATAATTATCACAAATGCGAGAGAACTTCTTATTCACGCGATAGGACAGTAGCTTTTGGGTGGAGTTTATGACAAGAATAATTATAATCACAAAGACGATAAGAGTTCTCATTCGCGTGATAGGACCATATTTCTTTTGTCGGGGTTATGTAAATGAGGGTAATATAATTATATGACAAAGATAATAATAATCACAAAGAAGATAGAAGTTCTCATTCACGTGATAGGACAGTAGTTTTTGGTTGGCCGATTTTATGACAAGGATAATAATAGTCATAAAGACGATAGAAGTTCTCATTCGCGTGATAGGACCATATTTCTTTTGTGGGGGTTATGTAAATGAGGGTGATATAAATATATGACAAAGATAATAATTATCACAAATGCGAGAGAACTTCTAATTCACGTGATAGGACAGTAGTTTTTTGTTGGATTTAATGACAAGGATAATAATAATCATAAAAACGATAGAAGTTCCCATTCGCGTAACAGGACCATATTTTTTGGTTGTGGTTCATGTAAATGAGTATGATAATACAGTATGTTTGGCAAAGATAATAATTATCACAAATGCGAGAGAACTTCTCGTTCACGTGATAGGACAGTAGTTTTTTGTTGGATTTAATGACAAGGATAATAATAATCATAAAAACGATAGAAGTTCTCATTCGCGTGATAGGACCATATTTCTTTTGTGGGGGTTATGTAAATGAGGGTGATATAAATATATGACAAAGATAATAATTATCACAAATGCGAGAGAACTTCTCATTCACGTGATAGGACAGTAGTTTTTTGTTGGATTTAATGACAAGGATAATAATAATCATAAAAACGATAGAAGTTCTCATTCGCGTAACAGGACCATATTTTTTGGTTGTGGTTCATGTAAATGAGTATGATAATACAGTATGTTTGGCAAAGATAATAATAATCGTAAAAACGATAGAAGTTCTCCGATTCACGCGATAGGACCACTGTAGGGGTGTATGTAAATGAGGATGATATAAATATATGACAAAGATAATAATAATCACAAAGACGTTAGAAGTTTTCATTCACGTGATAGGACCATAGTTTTTTGATGGGGTTATAATGTAGATGAAGATGAAAGAAAATAATAATCATAAAAACAATTCAAACATTCAGTGCAGAGGTTAGCACACTGGCAGGCGAAGAGAGGGTGCGAGAGGAAGGGAAAGAGGGAACAAGAGAGAGAGAGAGAGAGAGACAGAGAGAGCCTGGGTCTATATTTCGGAGAGAGAGGGTCCATGTGGTGAAAATGATTATTTTCGAAACTTCCAAGGGTATGATGAACATTACAACGAACTTCTGTAGGAAAGAGAGAGAGAGAGAGAGAGAGAGAGCGGTATCTGGATAGACATATTTATTGTATTTCTTTCATGTTTATCTGAACGATTATGTGGTCATTCATTTTCAAATTGCTTTCTTTCTGATATTCTTTTCTGAATGCATTTCACGGACATAATAATTGGAAAAAATGATAAGACTTCATGTATCCCGTAGGCCTACTTGAAATTGTTTGTTATAAATGTATATCAAAAAGACTGATCAGTCGAAGCTGAGACTAGATTGAGACGGTTGCGGAGGAGGGTTTACGGGTACGTCAAACCATATGTTTACATTATGGTCAAACTCACTCTGCAAGGAGATTATAACTCCCTTGATTTGTGCGATACAATCCTGAACGGTACTAGCTCTCACACAAACGCACACAGAATGATGCTGGTACCATGGAGCTATAAAAGAGACCATGGACCGAAGCCATGCGAATACAGTCGCCTTCCCGCTGTGGAGCGGGGTCAGCGTCTTTTGTCCATGCGGCTTGCGCCACCGAGCGGTTAACAGTTTCAATATCGATTATACCATGAACCATTTACAACAGTAGATGGCGCTAGTATACAACAACATGAGCCGGTTTAAATACAGGCAGCTTGGAACTAATAATTGATTTATTAATTACTGTTTAATTCACTAAAAAAAAAAAAAAAAGTATTTCAGCGGTGGAGATTGGCTAAAGATATTCCTATAGCATCTTGTTATAACATCAAAGAGTTTCAGATGAATTAAATATTTTTACCAATACTTTGTAATACCTTTAAGTTATCCGTATCTTAGAATCTTAGAATAGTTACGGATACGGATACCTACTAACGTTCATCCATGGAGAGGAAATTAATCAAAACGAACATCAGATGTTAACTGAGAATTATCGTAAAAGAAACAAAATCGAATACATTGCACAATAAGATACAAAATAGTGCAAAATTATATTACACTAGACCTAATACAATTATACTTATAAACTCATCAATATAATATAAAGAAATTGCTTAAATTTGGTACATGTATAAAAAGCACAGAAGGTCCTACTTCCTCAATGATTTCGTATTAAATTTACTTTAAAATAGACAAAGCATACTTCTGTAATTGTTAGGAAAAAATCGATCATACAATCATGTATTCTTTAGAAAAAAAGATAAGAACCTCAATCGTATAACATAAATGCATTGAAAAACAGGAATAAAATGAGACGAGAGATATATGCTTCCCCGTCCCGTTCTAGCTTGTCTCACACACTCTCTTACACCCCCCCCCCCCCCAAATAAGAAATTATACCTTCAGATATCTACTCATTTTTAACTGAACATAGTGTTCAATAGTTAAAATTAACACACAGGTGTATTAAACTTTCTAAAATTGCAATATACCTCGGAACACATTCTCTGATTTTTTTTGTTTCCGGGCACGTAGGCCGGCTTACTGCTTCAATGTCAATATAACAATATTTCTTCCTCAGATAGGCCGAATATGTTATCGGGTTTAGAAGGAAAAAAATCGTGAATTTTATCAATCTTTCATATTTTGAGCAAGAAATGAGCGTGGCATCCACTCACACCTTTTCCCTGACCATACTCTAAAGTTATTTCAGTTCGGATGCCCCACCCCAGGCCCCACCCCCCCCCCCCAAAAAAAAAAGAAAGAAAAACTACTACTAATAATAGAGTATGTACTACCGTGCAGCCGTGCTAATAATAGTAATTAAAAACATTAACAATAAAATAAATATGCACGTATAGTTAAATCTGTTTTTTCTAGAGCACTTGTTCATGCAAGTTGGCTGAGCTGATGCATTTGCAAACAAAATTATGTTGCGCCACCACACGAGCTAGCGACGGACATGTACGTGTACATTGGTGTTCGTGTTTCCATATTTTCAGCGACCAATATCCATATCCATCCACTAGAATGGCTAATGTTGCAAGGCTAGTATCAGGCTGTCGCCACTCTTTTCAGACAATACTTCACCGGAATGTAAGTTTAACTAATACATCCACTATAAAGAATTTGTTTTGTAATGATTTCTTGCATTAAATAATAGTTTAGGAAGCCTATATTGCACAAGGCCTTTATTTCAATACAGTCCCATAAGTTCAAATCGATGTCCCGTTTTCAGAATTTCCCAATATCCTCACATGTCGTGGCCTGGAAACGAATGCACGCTAGATAATGTAGATTTTTGTTTGTATATATGACCTTGAAGGGGAAGTCCACCATAACATTCGGTAGGTTTTATATAAAAAGCTGGATAATTACAGAAAAGGATCGGTGAAAGTTTGACAGAAAATAAAGTTTGTAGTGATCAAATCAATCGTCCATAATAATCATAATCGTATGCGAATTGGCAGAAATATCTGTCTGGTAAGTGGTAATGTATGGCCTATGGCTATGGGGATTTTCGGGTGCTCATACGATGGTGGGGCACATGCGCCTCCACCCCCACTCCAGGGTCGGAGGGACTGCATGCGTGTTCCCAAAATCTCTGGTAAAGGGGTTACTTTTTCGCGCGACAAAGACGTCTGGCCCGCCATAGACTTTCACACCAAAGATAGGGGGGTGCTTTCAAAAAGAGGGAGCATATATATGCTTACCCTAAATAAAACAGATTGTGGGCGGCCTCGACGCAGGCGCACGCGCCCGCCGTTATGCACTTGTATTGCATTGAAAGAATGTTTGAAGGATACCAGACTTGTATCAAATATTCTTATCTTTAAAACACATATTTGATTGTGTAACATACTTAGTGACGTCATTTTAGCCAGTGCTTCCTACTTCCATTATGCAAATGACATAAATTTCAATAATTAAAGATACAGCTACAGATGAGCACACATGAACATGTAAAGATTTTTTTGTGTTCTCCGTGAGTTCAATCATCTTTTCAGTTGTTATTATGTCAAACCTGTCCACAAAGACCACATGGTTTTTTCCCCTTGAAAAGGGTTTCTCATTGAAACATGTACTGAAGGAACGTGTCTACAAAGAGCCCCCCACTCAGTGTTATTTAAGGTACGCATATGCATGTTCCCTCCTTTTGAAAAAACGGGTTTTTGTGTACTACCAGCCGGACTTTGGTGCGTGAAAAGTACCCCTTTACCAGACATTTTGGTAACGCGCATGGTATCCCTCCGATCACGGAGTGGGGGGGGGGGGGCGGGCAAAGAGCAATTTTTGTGTTTCCCTTGGGTGGTCGCTATAGACAGGTTAGACTGTACCTAGACCCTCTTCATTTCTTTCCCTCTCAACAGGCTGGTGTAGCTGGGGCAGTCCCTGTGAGACACCTCAATCTACAGGAGTACCAGAGTAAGAAGTTAATGCAGCAGTATGATGTCAATGTTCAGAAGTTCATGGTTGCCGATGATGCTCAACAAGCAGTCCAGCAAGGCAAAGACTTGGGTAAGTCAGTCAGGGAGGAGTTGACCCTTTGACTCCTCAGTTGTCTTTTTCTCCTCAGCTTAAAGATAAAGACTAGTTATGATCATGCGATTGCATTGTGAAAGAAACGTGGAATCGATCAGTAAAGGTTGATCATCTAGTATATAAGTTTTGGTGTGTACTGCAAGGTTCTGGAATCATCAAAATGATAAAATTTAGCCCAGTCTTGGTAAAGTTACAAGCACTGTAAACAGAAATATGTATATGGGACTATGCGACACGTGCGTGACACGTGCGCGATATCTATCAGGTCCAAATAGATAAAATAATTTACCAAATATATCAATTAGTAGGCGGTTTCCCGGCAAAATTTGTATCATCACGTATTAGTCAAAACATATTCTTTCTCATGATTGGTAATAAGAGCCTCCATTCCATATTTTGAGAGGGGGGCATTTCCAAAACTGGTCTTTACCTTTAATACAGGTGACTACTCAGTTCCTAGAGGCAATAGGTTCATTGACGAACATTTCTTTTTTCTGCTTTTTAACTTCTATACACTTTATAGAAGTTAAAAAGTGGGTGTTTTTAAAGAGACTCTAATTATTGCAAGGACTGACGTAGGTATTATTACAGAGAAAATTGAAGAGAAGAAATGTATATTATTTCTTCAAAAACTAACTCTCCAAATGCCTTGTTAGAAATATCCTAATTGTCTGATATGAAAATTCTCAACAGCTGTTGTTGATCTTTTTAATGCTAAACCCCCAAGTATATTTTTATCGATATTTTTTGTGTGCCTTATACTAAAAAATTGTGTTATATGTTTCATTGCTCATTTCCTCATACTTTTTGTTTCTCTTGTATGTGATAGATGTGAGGGAGATCGTATTGAAGGCTCAGATACTTGCAGGAGGTAGGGGTAAAGGAACATTCACTAGTGGTCTCAAAGGAGGAGTTCATCTAACCAAAAAGTAAGAAATTGTCATTCGAAATATTGAAAACATGCTTTATTTTCTGAGTTATTTCCCCTATTTATTCCTACATTTAGTTCGACAAATGTGTACCTTTAGAAACTTTTCAAAATCAAATTTCATCCAGATTGTATTTTGTATTATTTCATAAGCAAATAATTTTTTTTTGCTTAAAGTCATTGTTGGAATGTGCCTTTGTAGACTTTAAATATTTTGTCTTATGAATTCATATAATGAAAAGTATGTGTAACGAGATGTATCTATAAGGAATGCCTTTTAAATATGATTAAAAAAAAAAAATTATTCAAGATGTTATAAAACTATTACTTTTCTTCTTGATGCATCTTCTAGCCCCAATGATCTTGGTCCATTGGTTGAACAGATGATTGGAGCCAAACTCACCACCAAGCAAACTCCCAAGGATGGTGTCCTTGTTAAAAAGGTAATAATGAAAATAATATTTGTCTATTTATTGATTTCTAAGCATACTTTGTTCATGTTATATTGTAAAACAGCATCTGAGGAACTAACACTTCAACCAGCTCTGCTTCTAGTTGTTTCCTCTTTTCTTATGCTTTTTCTATTATATTTGTCGATTCATTGCATATTTTGTAACATAATTACCGGTATTCATTGTATTATGTTTTGCATGAGAAATAAAATCATTTGAATCAATAGAACAGTTCTTATATCTTTACTAGCACATTATACCTTTGTTAAAGGTCTCAAAAAGCTTTATGAATAAAAAGAAAGAAGTGAGACAAATAGAAAAGCTGCAGTAAAATGTCTTGTGACTTTAAGAGTACCAATATAAATTAATCACTTAAATAAATATGTTTCAAGAGCAGTTTTGAATTGTTGAACTGTTATCAACATATCAGTTAAACTTGCAATATATGCTATAAACTGCTGAAGATTAAATTTTCATGCTTTGTATTGAGTAAAACCCAAAGTTAGGTTAGGATTATGTGTAGTTGATAATTTTTAAACGGGAGTAATCTACAACAATGTGCCAATGGTATCAAGCAAGACATAGTTGCATCATAAAGAGGAATATTTCAGACTTTCAGCTCTCCATTGATAGCAATATTGAACTTGTGTTCTTTGTATTTTGATTCATGGTCATACCTTACAATCAGTGTTGCTGATCGTTCGTTCGTGTCTCCTTAGATCAAGATTTGTAATCTTGATCTTCGGAGTAGTTGTTGCTGATGGTACACTCATGTTACAGTTATGCTTCATTCTCAAGATGATTTTGAATTGATGAATATTTTACAATTTTGATTTTTTGTCATTTAGGTGATGGTAGCGGAAGCACTGGACATTGAGAGGGAGACGTATTTGGCCATTTTAATGGACAGAGGAATGATGGGTCCGGTTCTTATTGGGAGTCCAGCGGGTGGAGTGGACATTGAAGAGGTGTCAGAGAAGACACCAGAGCTTATATTCAAGGTAGGCTAGTGTCAGAAGGAGATGAAGATGAGTTGAAAAAGAATCAATATATAGTGTCGGAAACTGGTTAGATTAGATATAACTCTTTGTGGGAATGATTTTAGTTTTATATGTTGAAAAGGTCTTAGATAAAAAGAATCTGTAATGATTTGATTTTATAGGAATGTGTCAATTAAGAAAAGAAAAAAAATCCGTAAAGAAATGATTAGTCCTTTCATAAACTTATCTAATATATCTTCAAAGAATGCTCAAAACTGGCTTAAATCTAGAGATATTTGTGAACGTCTCTCATCCATTATGAGAGTAAGCAGACAGTTACAAAACACCACCACGTTGTCTCTCAAAGCTTATGTATCTTTGCATTATCAGCATAAAAGACTATTACATATGTGATACATGTTGTTTTTATAGTTCTTACTATCCCTATGAATTCAAAGATAGGCAGAACTATCATGTCATGTGACCTCATTTTAACCAGTCATGTTCAAAGATGTGTGATATGTGAAATATAATTGTATAATACGATCTTGCATTGATGTCTATTTTAGGTACCCATTGACATCACCATTGGCATCACAGATGAGCAAGCTCTTACAATGGCAAAAAATCTTGACTTTAAAGGAGATCTCATCAGAGTGGTGAGTTGCAAAAATTCCTCTCAGATGATGACATTCATTTAAAATGCTATCTTGAGTTCTGGTACAATGGAATTGCAGTTTATAGTTTACCTGTTGAATATATATGTTTTTTTCTATTGTTAATTTTAGAGAGAAATATAAGAGAGTTGTGGAATGTGTGTGGCGTGTCTACCTATATATATATGGTTAGTAAGATACAAAAATATGATTTTGAAAATGTGTATAAGAGGCATGCTTTGAAAAAATTTATCTAAGTGACCAGTGACCACAGATTATATTATAATTTCCTCTCAAAACATTCCTTTTCAAGTCTTGATCGTTTTTCCTGTTTACACGCGCCTTGAGCACTCCACAGAGTGGATTTGGAGCGATATAAGTTACATTATTATTATTATTACTAGCAGGACCCGCGGAAATCCGCGGGATTCTAGAGGGGGGCGGGGGTGTAAATAGATATATAGAGACTGTCTAAATTAAAACCACCAAGAACTTTGCTTGCCATTCAGGCCATTAAAAAAATATACATGTTGAGCGTCCCCGCCCGATTCCTTTTTGGGGGCCGCCTCCTATTTTTTTTTTTTGAAATTTTTTTGATTTTTTTTTTTTTTTTTTTTTTTTGAAAGAAAAAAAAACAGCGTCCCCGCCTGCTTCCTTTTTGGGGACCGCCTCCTATTTATTTTTTAAATTTTTTAAATTTTTTAAAAAAAAATTTAAATTTTTTTTGTAATTGTTTAATTTTTGTTGTTGTTTTTTTTGTTTGTTTTTTTAAAGAAAAAAAAAAACAGCGTCCCCGCCTGCTTCCTTTTTGGGGGCCGCCTCCTATTTTTATTTTATTTTTATTTTTTTTGAAAGAAAAAAAACATGAAAAGCACTGCTAAAATGTATTTCTGTTTTAAAAAAAAAAAAAAAAAAAAATTGTCGGCCGCCATCTTGAAAAATAGCCAGAGTGTCAGGGAAAATGTACGGAGCGGCCATTTTGAAAAAAAAAAAGAAGAAAAAAAGGGCCTCCTCCTTCCCATTTTTCGAAAAAACAGGACGCTAAACATGTTTTTTTTTTAATTTGGCCTTATATATAAAAAAAACAAAAAACGATCCAACTGTACCTGTAGTTATTCTTTAAGCCACTGGAACTGCGTAGAGTTCCGTAGTGTGGCGTACCGACTACGCAGAAATTAGGCTGCATATTAATGGGAAAATAGTCCCTGCGTAGGTTATGCGTAGGCTGGCGTACAGGTTTGCTTATGGTTGCTTACTGTGTAGAAAGCTTTTACTGCTTTGACGATCTGGCGTAGGGTAGCGTACTGTTGCGTAAAAAGGCATACTTTCTGCGTCAAGTTTCTACGCCGAAAGTACGCGAAAAAAATTAAACATGTTGAATTGTTTTCGTTCATCTTGCGTACCTCTTTCCGTCCCTCAGCATATAGTGACGTAGGCCAGCGTAGTTGGTACGCAACACTACGCAACTCTACGTATTGTCCCCACGCCAATTAGTGACCCGCAAGTGTCACAAATAAAGTATTAAAAATATGCTCATCTGACCCTAAACGCCTAAACCCCCAAGCTTTCAGGGGTTTATGGCCCCTTGAAACCCGTGGACCCCACGCCTATATTGTATATACACTCAACTCGCCGCGATCTGATCTCTCCCCCCCCCAACTTTGAAGAACGTAACCCCCGAGCTTTTGGGGGTTTATGGCCCCTTGAAACCCGTGGACCCCACGCCTATATTATATATACACTCAACTCAGGACCCGCGGAAATCCGCGGGATTCTAGAGGGGGGGGGGGGGGGGGCGCAGGCAAAAAATTAAGTTTTTTCATTTCGGGGGCTCCATTTCAAATTTTTGGTAAATTTTCGGGGGCTACTTTTTCAACTTTCGGGGGCTCTTTTTTCTGGGGCTACTTTTTCATTAATTCATTAAAGGATAGGCCTACACTTTGTTGAGATTTGTTTAGTAGGCGAAGGTTTCAGGCTTAATACTTCATAGGTCTAATTGCCTATTTAAAAAAACAACATTTTTATAGTTCAATAACTAAGTTTTCATGCATTGCTTTGATGCAAGAACTGTAACATAATTAATAGATCTAGATTGTGATTATTTCTGACCATGAATTTCAATAATCATTTTTCAAAGTAAAATTTTCACAAGAAAATCAGACAGTCGTTTAAAAACGTAGACATTAGTAATACTTTTACTAATTCTAAGCTCAGGTTTCGTAAATCATTTCACGAAACCATATTGAAATCGTGATGCAAACCAACAGATACAATTTCAAAGTGTCAAATCTCTTCGACTCGAGCTCAGCTCAGCTGATCGAACTCGCACACACTCCAGCGTAACTCCATGAAGCTCGAACACCGACGCCGCAGGCCTCGGAAGCCTGCGGTGCGCGGTGCCGGTGTTACACTGCATGTGTGAGGACTGAAGGCAGCTTGCGACTGGAACTGTCAGTCCAATGGTTTTCTTGTGAAAACTTTCCTTTAGAAAATGATAATCAAAATTTAGTAGCATGGCCGTAATAATCACAAAATAAGCTTTGATGTCATACCTCCATTCATGAAAACTATATAAAAATCGCGGCAATAATGATGGAAATAGGTCCCTAAGTTTGGACGTGGACGGGAAGCTTTGTGTGTATCTCTGTGGCTTGTGCAGCTACTATACAAAGGATATCCTATAGAAAGATGCTTTACCCGGGTAAGCCCGAGCCTGTGCGTCGTGCATTTTATACGCAACTTAATGTGAGTGGATGGTCATCGGTCGTGTGTCTACGGATGTCATGTTGAATATCCATGAGGTATCTCTGTCGTCACGCATATCCTGCATTATGCATGTCGCGTCTGTTTTCGCCCTGGACGTCGACACGGAGGAGGACCTCGGGCGGAGTATAGCCAATTCCACAGAGTAGACTCTCCCGCGGACGATGGCACCGGGCACGGGTACCCCGAGGGCAGGGTTCGGGAGGAGATAGCCGCACCAACTTGGGTCGGCGATCTCATTAAAAAACAATAGGATACAAAGGCTCGCCGAGACGTCGCGCCCCCCGCGGAGCCTTAGCGTATTATTATTATAGAATTTATTATTTTCTCACTTCTCACCCTCTTTTAAACTAACATAATTCAGTTTAATTTTATTCCCTTTTGAAAATATTATTCAGCTATGTAAGTAACACATTTTAATCATTCAGTAATCTTAATATTGTTTATACAGGCCGCAGATCAAATCAAGAATTTATATGAGCTATTCCTTGGAGTTGATGCCACACAAGTTGAAGTCAATCCATTTGGAGAAACAGATGATGGTAGAGGTATGTTGTATCCTTTGCTTGTTTGATGGGTGATGTTATGATTCGTTAGGCTGCACTAACATTCACCAATGATTTTATTCATTATTTGAATATTTTAATTCTCATGTAAAGCCAGTAATGAGTCATCAAGAAAACTGATCCATCTTTTGTCGCCACCATTGATGTGCTTTGATGCCAAGATTGATTCAAATAATAGTACAGACTTCCATCAGAAGGAAATCTTTCTATATTATATACATATTCTGCCTTTTTATATAGCGGCCAATACATCGAAACGAGTCTTAAGCGCTTTTACAGACATATAATTACCCGGTCATCAGATTAGGGCTTACCCGCACACAATTTGTGCACATTCTCCACTCCCTGGAAAACATTCTGACCAGTTGCCATTTTACAAGCGCACACTTGCAGATCCAACCACATTAACTTTCGCATCCTACCGGGTACCCATTTAATACCTGGGTGGAGAGTGGCAAATGTAGATTAACAACTTGCCAAAGGACATTAGTGCTGTGGTGGGACTCGAACCCTGTACCTTGTGACCTGCAGTTGGTGAATTATCCACTAGACCACCTTCTATCATTTTAACAAGATACTTACATGTATTTTCTCAGGATTCAGACTTATGTCATCTTCACCTTTGTCCTTTTGTCTCCATCAGTGGTATGCTTTGATGCCAAGATCAACTTTGACGACAACGCAGAGTTCCGCCAGAAGGAGGTCTTTGCCATGGACGATATGACAGAAGCCGACCCCAAGGAAGTCTTAGCAGCTGAGCACAATCTGAACTACATCAGTATGGATGGCAATATAGGATGCTTAGGTAGGTGTGAAAGGCATGTCTACTGTAGATAGCACATGTAATGTGGGTGTCTTGGGGGTACAACAGTTGTCATGAGCTTAAATATATTATTGAGTATTGGTTGTTAAATTGATTGTGAAAGAAAATGCTGAATGGTTGATTACAGTACGTAATTAAAGATCAACCAACTGTTTATTGTTATTTATGAAGATATGGAATTATCAAAATCATAATAAATTTACCAAATCTTGCTGAAAAGCAAAAATCAATGAAAAGAGGTGGGCATAGATATGAATGCATGGGACCACACAAACATGTGACATGACAATTTGGTCCAAAGTTGTATGCTGTTTTTGTCACGTTTGAAATATGTGAGCATTTTAAGGGCAAATGTTCCTGGAACATTATTACGGTACTAGTATATTTTTTTCCACATAAGGACAGCAAGGAGGAGAAGGCTCACAAATTATTCTTCAACACCCAACCTTCTCTTTCAGCCTTTGGCTCTAAACAGCCTGAAAACTAACTACAGTGGCACCAAAATTTAGGGCTATCATATGATGATCTGTTCTTTGATTTATCTCCAGCTATGCTCAAGTTAAACCAGGTTTCATTTTGGTGCTCTTTCATTAATATGGGCCCTTAGCCCTAGCTCTGAATATAATGCAGTCAAACCTGCTTAAACAATTACCTTTACAGAAAGATCACATCTATGAAGACCTTATATTTTACCTCCCTTGAAAATAATGCTCCCATCATATCCTTTAGCAACCTGTCTGTAAAGATCAGTTCTCTTTTCTCCTACGAGTGGTCTTTATATAGAGGTCTCCCTGTATAACATAATCCTTTCTTCCTCTTGCTTCAGTGAATGGTGCTGGTCTGGCCATGGCAACCATGGATATCATCAAGCTACATGGAGGAGAGCCGGCAAACTTCCTTGATTGCGGTGGTGGTGTAGGAGAAGGGCAGGTCTTTGAAGCCTTCAAACTCATCAGCTCAGATGAAAATGTGAGTTGTTGTAGACCTTCTTCTCTTCCGCTGTGTGTGGTCCTGCGATACATGCCGTGTCTACAAATGCTCCATGGTCCATTTCTGCACAAACTGAATTCTTAATTTTAACCTTTGACCAGAACTATACCTTGCCCTAAAGCGCATGTTGTCACACCAAGTACATGAATAGCCTTCAAAGCTTAGCAGTTCTGATGAAAATGTGAGCTACTTTAGAATATACTTTGGAATATTTCCACTTTTATTAATGTGCCAGCTATTCTTATATTCTATTCAATATTTCTGATTAATTTTAATTTAGCATCTGAAAAGAGGTGATTTTTTTGTTGTTGTGAGGCTTGGAGACTTACCAGAATTATACTTGTCTTTCTCTACTTGTTCACTCTTCACAGGTAAAGGCTATCCTAGTGAATGTATTTGGAGGTATTGTAGATTGTTCCATCATTGCTAATGGCATCACGTCGGCTTGCAGGGGAATGGATCTCAAGGTACCCCTTGTGGTCAGGTTAGCAGGTGAGTGAACTGAACCTTAATATGGTGAAGTCCTATCATAAATTACTAATGTTATCTAATGTAAATATATTGATTTGATCATCTAGATAAAATATTTTTCACTGTTTCTAATCAAAGGCTGTTGATTTCTTGGAATCATCTGAATAGATTCTTACTTCATATGTCTTAAAATACAAGTTACTATTTACACTTAGTAAGTTTTTCAAAGATCATTAATTATTAACATTTCCTAATTGTAACAATTTCATGAAGTATCATTGCAGGGCAACGTTACTATGAGAAATCTTGTAAGTAAGACATTGGATGACCCCTTTAGTCAATATTTTAGACTAGCTAAGCTCATATTGGCTGGATATTTTGAAAGCAGTAGAAGCTCTTGATTTGGGGGGAGGGGGGGGGGGGGTTCATTCTAACATACTTATTCTGTATTTAGATTATAAAAATCTAGTCTGTACTTTTAGCTAACTGAAGTAGATGTTTTCATCGTGACCTATATTCTTATGTTTATTTTGCCAGGGTTCAACGTAGAGAAAGCTACCAGCATCCTCCACGAAAGTGGTCTTCCAATTAAGATTGCTGCAGATCTGGAAGATGCTGCCAAGAAAGCCGTAGCTTGCCTTAATTAACAACATAGTAGGAAGGCCCTTTGACATGAACTAGGAATCATACTGGATCTAAGAACTTGCTGAGGTCTTGTTCACATATTGCATGATGAACCGCCCCCAAAATGTCGCTGCGGTAAAAATAAAAACCACTTTACATATAAATGAATGGCCAATGAGGTTCAAAGATAAATAGCTGCGTCCAGGCCCTAAATCATACTCACTTGTCTATATGTTATAATATACAGATTTGAATTGCACACAATTTTGCCAGCGTGGGGTTTTTGTAGACGGGATACTGCGCTTTGTGTGAACTAGAAGCAATTTTGGACAGATACCATCACTTTATGACATGTGATAGTCATACCTGTATATGAAGACCACCCAAAGAGAAGTGGTCTTTATAAGCAGGTAGTCCAAGTTAACAGGACCTGTCTAGAACTGGTTTCTAATAGAAACACTGTCCAATATTTAATCTAAAAGTGATCTTTTTAGATAAATGTCTTTCTCTACAGGTGATTCCTAAAGCAGGTTAGACTGTACATATAGACCAGGAGCCAGGGGGGGTCAACCTAGCTGGGAAGGAAACCAGTTTTCATGTGCACAGATGTGAAGATGGCATAGCTCCACATAACAAATTGACCGTCTGGCATGTTCTAAGTGGTGGGTGTGGCTAGGGGGACGCCCCCCACCAAAAAAGTGGCCCTTTTGACTACAAAATAGTATTTTGTAAATAACATTTTAACGAAACCTTCAACCACTATGGGTTTGGTGTCATATGAAAGAGAGTTAAATTATTTACATTTTGATACCAATTTCAAATAATTTGAGATTAATTAAAATCGCAAATTTAAGTAAAAAACATGATTTTTGTGATTTTTTTCCAAAAATTGAATTTTATCAAAAAACACTATTTTCCATAAATCAAAATCGGAAAATGGAATTTTTTCAAAACTTTCCAGGAATTTGCTTATGTACAACAAAAATATCCTGTGCGAAGGAGAAGTTTATATATTGTTTCAATAAAAAGTTATAGCAATCCAAAGTTATGGATTTGATTTCCACAAAAACAACATTTTTGCCCACTTGTGTATAAACTGTATGCAATATACATGCATTAGTGTGTTAAGGACCTGTTTGGTGTGTTTACATCGAGTTTTAAAGATAACTTTGAAGTAAAACCTCTAATCACCATGTATTTGGTGTCAAAAGAAGGATAATTAAAATACTTCATTCTGATAACAATTTTGATGAGTGATGTAGTGTTTGAAATATAAATTTTGAGCCAAAAAGGTGCTTTATGTAGATATTCCTCTGGTTTTGGCCAGTATATCGGTATATTAACTGGACAAGTGATTGGACATTTAGTAGTGCAGAAAGTTCAAAGGATTTAGAGCGCTGAATGCAATTGATCAGTTTTTCTCCTGTACTCTGGGATGTTTCAGGAAATGTGGACATTGGCAGTTCCCTCCCCCCCCCCACCACACCCACCCCCTTTCAGTCGCTTGTCACAATTTTTCCCATGACCAAGAAAATTTAGTTCATCGATCAACATGAATATAATATAATATAATATCGCCATGTTTGGTTTAATGGTTTATTTTGCCTGACTACTAAGAAAACACATGTAAGCAACCAATACTCTGCATAATTCCTATTGTGATAAGATTTAGAATGACATAAACTTTTCTCATGAAATAGTTTTGGCTAGGTATGCAAAGTTTTTTTTCTCTCGATTACAAGTAATTCGGTACAAAAATGCAAGAAACATTATGAAACTAATTGATTCGATTGAATCTCAGTTTTAGTCTTTGTGTTGTTTTAAATAGGAAGTTCCATAACTACAATTGACCCCAACCCCAATTTGAAATCTTTTCTGCTTAGCCATGAATAATTTAAAAGCGTTACTAACTCCTTGAACGATTTGATGATTGGAAAATGTCCTTAGGTACCAGCTTATAATTTTGATAACAAATCACCGTTTACATTAGAGTTCTCTCATGCCTGTTGCATAAATAATATGGTCTTTTTGAACATGTTGCTGAAATGACATGATTTTCTGTGATTTTTTCTCTTTTTTTTGGGGGGGGGGGGTAAATTATAATTTTGTATGCCTTTGTTGGGAAATGACAAGTCTCCCAAATTTACAATAAGGCAAAAAAATATGCTTATTTAGAAGCCTTCATGTCAGGGCCTGCAGAACGGTAGGGCTCGAGCCCCCCTGACTTTTTTGAAAAAAGTATGTTAAAAAGAAAAAGAGAGAGAGAGAAAGAAAGAATGAGTGAATTGCCAGTGTCATAAATGTGGTATCAGAATATGCTCTTCTGACCGTAATTATATACCTAAAACCCCTGAGCTTCCGGGGGCTCCACACCCTGGACCTCCCCAAGGGCCCCAAGACTGGTCCCTGACTGCTCATCTGACCATAATTGAATGCCTTAAATGCTGACCTACATAGGACACAGCCTGCCAGTGTCACAAATAAGGTACATGTATCTAAATATGCTTATCTGACCATAATTTAATGCCTAAAACTTGTGCAGCTTCCGAGGGCTTCGCCCCTTGACCCCGCCGGGGCAAAGACATTGGACCCCATGCTAATTTACGCTGCACTCACTCTGCTCTACCTGATTGTTAATACTCCACTTTGAAAAACGTTCCGCGGGGCCGGCATGTAACGTGTAAGAGTGATGGTGGTGCAGATTTTTCTTCAGCCCCCCAAAACATTTTTACTCATTACGCCCCTGCCCCTGAAAGGTGAGCCCCCTGGAATGTTTGCCCCCTCCCCCAATCCCAAACTGCTTCCGGCGTGCCTGGGTGGGGTGTCTGTCAGATGTCCCTAAAATACCCCAACCTCAATATCGAGCTAGATCAGCTCCCCCCCCCCCCCCCCATTGAGCGCCAGGGGGAGGGAGGGCCTAACTGCTAAAAAAAAGGGTAAAATTAACGTGTTTTTACACATTTTTTTCCCAGGGCAGAAAGAAAAAAGAGAAAGAAGAAGGGCAGCGCCCTCAGAAGCTCAGGGGTTTTATACATCAAATTATCGTCGGATGAGAATAATTTTATACTTTATTTGTGACACTAGCCGGTCACGAATTGGGGTGGGGTCCAGGGGCAGAGCCCCCGGAAGGTCAGGAGTTTTGGGCAATAAATAACGGTCAGATGAGCATATTTTTATACCATATTTGTGACACTGGCAGGTCACGAATTGGCGTGGGGTCCAGAGGGCAGAGCCTCCGGAAGCTCAGGGGTTTTAAGCATTAAATTACCGTCAGATTAGCATATTTTGATCTCTATCCCATTATTTCCTCCTTTTTTTTCAAATTGATCTCAATAGTAGTTGTGAAACTTCCTCTTTGAAACACACAAAGACTAAAACTGAGATTCAATCGAATCAATTAGTTTCATAATGTTCCTTCGATATTTGTACTGAATTACTTGTAATCCAGAGGAAAATAATTTTGCATACCCTAGATGGGGTCCAGGGGGCAGAGACACCGGAAGTCAAGGGGTTTTAGGCATTAAATTACGGTCAGATGAGCATATTTTGATAACTTTGATATCTTTCCACTTTTATTTCCTCCTTTTTTTCAAATTGATCTCAATAGTAGTTGTGAAACTTCCTCTTTGAAACACACAAAGACTAAAACTGAGATTCAATCAAATCAATTAGTTTCATAATGTTCCTTCGATATTTGTACTGAATTACTTGTAATCCAGAGGAAAAATAACTTTGCATACCTAGCCAAAACTATTTCATGATAAAAGTTTATGTCATTCTAAACTAATCACAATAGGGATTATGCAGAGTATTGGTTGCTTACAAGCATACATGTGTTTTCTTAGTAGTCAGGCAAAATAAACCGTTAAACCAAACATGGCGATATTATATTATATTATATTCATGTTGATCGATGCACTAACTTTTCTTGGTCATGGGAAAGATTATGACAAGCGACTGAAAGGGGTGGGTGTGGTGGGGGGGGGGGGGGGGGGTCGGGGAGGGAACTGCCAATGTCTACATTTCCTGAAACATCCCAGAGTACAGGAGAAAAACTGATCAATTGCATTCAGCGCTCTAAATCCTTTGAACTTTCTGCACTACTAAATGTCCAATCACTTGTCCAGTTAATATACCGATATACTGGCCAAAACCAGAGGAATATCTACATAAAGCACCTTTTTGGCTCAAAATTTATATTTCAAACACTACATCACTCATCAAAATTGTTATCAGAATGAAGTATTTTAATTATCCTTCTTTTGACACCAAATACATGGTGATTAGAGGTTTTACTTCAAAGTTATCTTTAAAACTCGATGTAAACACACCAAACAGGTCCTTAACACACTAATGCATGTATATTGCATACAGTTTATACACAAGTGGGCAAAAATGTTGTTTTTGTGGAAATCAAATCCATAACTTTGGATTGCTATAACTTTTTATTGAAACAATATATAAACTTCTCCTTCGCACAGGATATTTTTGTTGTACATAAGCAAATTCCTGGAAAGTTTTGAAAAAATTCCATTTTCCGATTTTGATTTATGGAAAATAGTGTTTTTTGATAAAATTCAATTTTTGGAAAAAAATCACAAAAATCATGTTTTTTACTTAAATTTGCGATTTTAATTAATCCCAAATTATTTGAAATTGGTATCAAAATGTAGATAATTTAACTCTCTTTCATATGACACCAAACCCATAGTGGTTCAAGGTTTCCTTAAAATGTTATTTACAAAATACTATTTTGTCGTCAAAAGGGCAACTTTTTTGGTGGGGGCGTCCCCCTAGCCACACCCACCACTTAGAACATGCCAGACGGTCAATTTGTTATGTGGAGCTATGCCATCTTCACATCTGTGCACATGAAAATTGGTTTCCTTCCCAGCTAGGTTGACCCCCCCTGGCTCCTGTACTAATAGCTCTAAGTGAACTTAGCTTGTGCTGTGTTAAATGCTTTCTTAAAATGTAGGCGTTATCATGTTGCAAAACCAAAGCAATGAGTTTTTATTCATGTATTCATGTTGATGTGATTGGGCTTTTTGTGTTTTGTGATACAAGCAGAGATATATATATATACAGTATACAGAAGATATGTTGCATATTTAGCAGTCTCTGTGCTTTTATAATTAAGAAGATAACTCTAATTTCAATCCCTGAATCAGTCTTCTATGATTAAATTCAAATGTGTAATTGCCGCTCATGAATGGTAATTTCCCTAATTTTTTTAAACAAAAGAATCTTTTGGAAAAGATAAATGTTAGAAATGTGATCATGCTGCCAAAAAATAATCAGTTAAAATCGATGTAAGATCACAAGAATCGAGGGAAAATAATAACACTGAAATATTGATTCTAGCGGATATTGGACAATAATTAATTATACCAATAAGGTATCTACATGTAAAAGCTTTTGATAATGCCTTCAATTTAGTGTAGAAAAATTGATGTGTAATAAGGGAAGAGGATTATGGCAATAACTTGAACTTGTGAAAGCAAGGAAAACTGTTAATAATGTTATTAGCTTAACCTTATATTTGATTTGTAATGTCTTTGAATATAATCACTGTTGATGTCCATGTATTCCCAGATCTTGTGCTATATTTAAGGTACATTTAAGGTCTTGATGCGCTCAATTTCATATTCAAACAGAAGGGGGGAAAAAATCCTGAATAGTTAGAGTTTAATTATAAGGGAGCTGAAGTGTATTTACCACCAGGCACTAATGCAAATTCACTGTTGCCAATTTATTTGAAGGTTCAACTCAACATTTGCACAATGTTTTAGCAAGCTTCTGTAAGTTATAAAGTTATTCAACAGGTGCACCCATACACATTCTAAATGAAGAAGGGAAAATGTGAATTTGACTCTGATGTGACATCTCATCTCAGTATTTGATTGGAAACTGAATGAAAGGATCTATTTAATTCCATCATTATTGGCAGTATTCTGTGAATGGCATCATCATTAATGTAAATGGATATTGAAAAACAATTTACTTGACTGCACAAGATGTAGATGGCTCATAAATCATTCCTATCAAGTGCTAGCAAGTTATGATATTGAAAATAAAAATCAATATTTTATTTAAAACTGTTGCATTGTCGATTTGTTTGAGTTGTTCATGTCACTTTTTTGAAATTCCAACATAATAAGAATTGTAATAATAATGATAGGCATTGTATTGCGCCATCTAACTATAGCTTATATTCCAAGGCGCATAAACTCTATCCAGACTGACTTGAGCAAGGAAAGCTAAAGTCTATTGTCTGCCGAGAGCCAGAAGGGCGCTTCCTTATATCTTCTTAATACATGTACATAGATAAGGTCCTTTTGGGCTCCGAGGAGACTGTATGTTAGCTTAATGAAGGCAAGTGTTGTCCTAATACAATGAATAAGGAGTTGGTGATTTAGAGTTACAGTAATGATATTGTAATGTAGAGAAAGTGGATATTTATGGTTAAAAATGATTATAGAGCAGCGAATTTGACGTTTTCACCAGTAATACAAAAACTTTCTGAAAGTATCAGTCACTGAAAAGCTTTCAGAGTACATGTTTTACACATTCTTTGACTGCTCACATGAACATTTGTAAGTTTTTATTTTAGATGGAATGAAACTTTGACTTTAAACAAATCAGAATATTCAGAATTTGCATTTAATTTCCGAAATTTGATTGCAAATTTTCATTCAAGAGACCCTTGTGATCGGCCTGATTGACCCCAATTTAATCATCATTCTTTATACATTGTGCAATTTCATCCATCTTATTTGGCACATTCATGTACCTTTAATTGTACCCTTTCAACAGTCAGTATTGATTTTGTTGTCTTCTGAGAATGAAATGAAATATATTCCCCCCACCCTCTATCAATATTTCCGTCTCTCTCTGTCTGGCTCTGTCCCCCCCCCCCTTTGTTCTCTCTCTCTTCCCCAGTTCTCTCTTACAATAACATACTATCTTATAGAATCAATTCATTTGTACATGTATAGTTATAACGGATCATAATTATCCTCTCATTATTTTTTATTTATTTTCTTCACAAACTGTTTTTCAAATGAGGGGCACAAAAATTAGTCGATGCAAATCTCAAAGAAAGACAATCTCCCACAACATTACCAAGCTTGTGAACTTGCATTCCATCTTAAATTCAATGCTATATTGCATGATGGCTTTTACTCCGCTTGCACTTTCTAAGACAATGAAGCTCTCAACACAAGACAATGAATCCAGGTTTAAACACGTACAAATTTGTATCAGTATATAGTTTATTTATTACATCTTGTCAGATGAAATATGTATGTACAACAAAATTGAAAGGAAATACTATTCCTTGTAACCTATTCTGCAGTCATTACTAACGTTCCATGATGCACTTTCCTGTGAAAATGACCCAATAGTTATCGACATTCTTTGGAAGTCTTGATAACACTGGTATGAGTAAACTTTAATTAGTAGAACAGTTACTCTTATTTTTCTCTTCTTTCTTCTTGGAGTGGTAGATGAACCATTTTGTTATGTTAAAACTGGTTTCTTCTTGATCTAATCCGTAATTAATACATGCCAGAAAATGTTTCCCATGGAGAAAGTTGATTCTCCAGGTTAATTAATTTATGACATTCTAATTTGATTTCACTTCAGTTTTTCAAAAGTTTCCATCGTCTTTTTGTCAGCAACAAGAATTTTTTTTCAAGCAACATCCTCAAAAATTGACTTCACTTTTTCATGCCACAAGCAGACCTCAAAAACAGGCAAATGAACAATCATTTTTATAATAAAATATTTAAATCTCATTAGTAAATGAGCATTAATGACTGGGAGGTACCCATTCATGAATCTTTTTAGTTGTGGTCGAGAAAGGTACATATTCCTTGTTGCTTCCAGTAAAATTCTCCTTGTGTTCTTTCCAGATGAACTTGCGAGGGACGGGTGGAACCTTGGTTGGTGGGTCGTCTGTGATGTTGTGAAGCCATCTGTGCCTGTACATACAAAAAAATGAAAAATAAGAATGAATAAGACCCAGGATACTGAAGTAGGCAAAGATCAAGTCAATGTAGCTTACGGTGGGCAAATAACTTGCTCTACATTTATAATTTTCACCATAGAAGCCATGTTTCTGCTCAAACTCAATTTCAATTTTTTATCAGTCCATCAAATCTGTACGCATCATAACTTGTAAGTACCTACATATTTATTCAAAAGAGAAGGCAGTTGCATACTCAAACTCAATCACAAATGTATCGCCCCTTTGAAAAAAGTATTGGAATTGCTTAAAATACAGGTTCAGAAGCCCTTTACACATTTCAATACATGCAAGCAAAATGTAGCAGCCTCTCCCCCCCCCCCCCCCCCAATCTTTTCCCAGTAATGGGCTTTATGTCATACTAGGAATTCAAAGTTTCACAAGTAATGTTCTAGTTGTACACAAATGAACAAATAGATATGATATGGCTCTCGTTGAACACACTTGTAATGTTTGAATGAACCCCTTGTCACTTACCATTCTGGTGGAACCATGCTTGCATCATAATTCCAGTAACGGTCAGCACGATATTGCACCCATCTGTTTCGGGCTAAAAGGCAACAAATATAATACAACGTAAAGTGAATAGGTGAAACACAATTTTAGGAACAATCCACTTAAATAGTACTTTACAGTATTGCATAATGTCATATTTCTGAAGCGATTCCGATTCTGATTCTGAGAGGGCTTTGTATTACAATGTACATGTATCTCCATCATTGTTATGATTTTAACTGATATTTCAAAGCCTACCATCCAGCATTTTTCAGTACAGAGTCCAATAATTTGGGTTATCCAAACAATTTGGTACAAATGTTTCAAAAAGGGAAGTTCCCTGCTAAAAGTATGATGACAATAAATTTCTTTCCTCTGCATAACTTTTTTTCTTTTCTACAATTGAATCATGTAGAATTCACCAATAAATATGGCAATTTTGCCAATTACAAAATATTCTATCCTGTGTGATGGACAAAACACTTTGGTTTGGACATTTCAATTTCAACATAGTCTCTATTCATTACATGTCAATTGCAGGTGGATGATCCTGATCATCTTTTCAATAACTCCTTCAAAGCAATTAAACTCTAAATCACCTTTCCAATATCCTGTAAGTATCAGGACATGGAATCTTACAATAACCATCAATGTAAAGGGTACAAAATACTTCAGCATACTAGATTTGATCTCTTTTCCTTACCTAAGAAAAACCTGTCGTTCTCATAGTACTTGTTGCCATGTCTGTCCTCGCCAACAAGAGCACCAATCTTCAGGTCTTCTCCCCTGTAACAATGATAGTTGATAGAAAAATGATAGAAATAAAGAGATAGGTTACTAATCATGTGGGTGGAAGTGCCAAATAATATCTCCAGGTATGAATTCATGATTTAAAACTAATCAGAAAGCTCAACCAAACCACTCTGAAACAAATCTCATAGTATGATCTCTCCACTTGTGTAGCTGTACTAGAAAATAAATACATGGTCTACTAAAAAAAATATTCAACTCAAAAAAATTGAATACGGGCAACGATATGTGCCCACATACTTCTCTTTTCAAAGTTGAAATGACACAGACGGGTAAGCGGGGCACCCACTTTTTATTGTGGAAATTGAAAATGAAATTGAGGTTGAACTTATTCTTGCAAATTTTTAAAGATATTTTCCAAACACTTCAAGGTCAACCACTTCCACTCCTTGTCAACAGTAGGGGTGCTGGTCTGAGAATGAGGATCATCCGCATAAATGAGGATATCCTCGTAAACGCGTACAAATTGCGACCTAAAAAATAAGGATCGTCCATATTTTCGCGGACGCTTTTTTTCATCGTTGCTCTGCAGGTTTCGGGTTCCCAAACCGCGCGCTGGCAATGGGAAAACGGATTCTGCATGATAAAATACCCCCAGTTCACCATCTACTTTTATGGGTTGTCCGTCTTCCCGAGGATTTATCGCTCATATTACGTGAAAGTCTCTGTGTACAAAGTAAATGTGAAATGCATCAAGAAAATCCGCTTTTCTCATCGCCAACGCGCTGATTGGAAATAAGAAACGTCTGCGAAAATGCGGACCATACTTGCTACAAACATAACAATTGCTACTCCTACGATACAGCTGTGTAGATCTATTCCAGTGCCGGGTGCCGCGCCAGATCTTATTGCTCCTTTAGTTTACTTGTTTGACCCAATACTCAAACTTCAAACCCTACGTAATATTCTATCGACGGGACCGTGATCGTGAAGGCTCTGAGTTAGCAAATCCCGACGATGTGAATGAGGATTTATGGTCATGTTTTTCACTTGAAGATAATAGCCTATCTTTAAAAACAATAATATGGTTATTTTACCTCAGTATCTTCCAAAAAGATCCTCTCAATCCACCAGATTCTTTGAGAGTTTGAAAGAATCTTCCTCTTATTGTTGACGCCATTTCGGTGGTTCAACTCACAGGAAATTCACTGAAATTGATAACATAAATTTTGGGACTTTATTTACATAATAAAGTGTGTATCTTTACAAAAATATTTTACTAAATTGGAACATCTATTGATAATTTTTAGTTTTCTACTTAGCCTAATCTCGGTTAGATCTACTTTCTTTGAAATTGTCCACCATTTCCAACTTCAAATTGACAACTATTGAAGCCGGTAAGTACTGGTAGCTACCTTCAATCACATGGATGCTTGAGTGGATGCTTGAATATCGTTTCTTCTTCTTCTTCTTTTGAGCGCATGCCTCCTTCAATTGACTGAAGATTCTTGCAAACTATGAAATGATGTCCCCCCCCCCCTAGGAAATATTGTGTACCCTTGTCCCTCCCGGGATTGACGCCCTTGATCGCAACCCTAAAAAATTGAGTCTGGGGAGGGGGGGGGGGGCAGTCGTAACGCATGCTTCATTACTATGTTACAATAATCCATCTCTTCATCACTTTGTAAAGTATCATTGATTTTCTTGCATTATTATATACGTTATATCATTAGCAACGTGCCATGACTTTAGTGATTTGCAAACAAGCAAATCGAGTGAGCAAATATTCTAGCCCAAATTTCTTAGTAGTATGGCAGCTATTTCAGATTGTATTTCCATCCAGAATTTAAGAACAGTTTTTTTTACATTTTTCGATTTTGCTTTTTTGCTGGTGCTCTTTTTGTGCTCCGAGTCCCCCCCCCCCCCCGGGATTTGTTGAAAATTGGTATAAGCTAATTTAAGACTACATTTTAGTATTTTACAGAGTTGATCGTAACAAAGCAAACACATAATTTATGAACCCATAATTTATGAGGTTTTAAATAGGGCATATATTTAGGTCTCAAATGAGGTTTAGCAATAGGGCATATATTTAGGACTCAATCGTCTTGAAAATTGTCTTCATATTCAATTCGATTCAAGGTTTATTTCGAAAAACATAGAATACAATGATGCACATGCTGCAGCTAAAAAGCTGAACTTTATCGAGGATACATATAATAGAAAAGGACCCAGTCACAAAACATATTTACATAATTGTACAATGAAACCATGACAGATAAAATACTGGTCTGAATAAAAAGACAACTGTTCAAATGTACTAATAAAAAAATTGGGTTTGTAAAGACAAACTTAAAATAATCAACAATTATTAAGAAGAGCAATACAATATGGTATTACACTATGTTTGAAACGAGAGGTACTGCATTTATATTGACTATACTTTTGTTTATTTTGTAGCAATGAGAAAGTCATTATCTTTTTGTCTAATTGGCTGATAATTTATCAGGGATACACAGCGGGAATTGTCCTTTTAAGCCTACGCCAGCAATCCCAACACAGTGGAAATATAAATAGTAGACAATGCTACAGGTATATAGGCCTGGACAGGGGCGGATCCAGCCGGCGGCAGGGGAGGGGGCCCAATTTGTGAGAAAATATTTAGCGGTGAAATAGCCGGCCGATAATTTGCTCAGTGGGGGGGGGGGGCGGGGGCCCCGCCCCCCCCCCGGCAAAAAAAGAAGGGAAAAAAAGAGGGAAGTAAAAAGAAGGGAAAGAGAGAAGGGGAAAAAAATGGGGAAAAAAAAGAGGGAAATAAAAAGAAGGGAAAAAGAGAAGGGGAAAAAAATGGAAAAAAAAGAAGGAAATAAAATGGATAAGATATCATCAAAGGTATCAAAATATGCTCATCTGACCGTAATTAAATGCCTTAAACCCGTTGACTTCCGGTGGCTCTGCCCCCTGGACCCCACCTAGGGCCCTAAGGCGGGCCCATGCATGCTTGTCTGACTGTTATAAAATTCCTAAAACCCCTGAGCTTCTGGGGGCTCCGCCCCCTGGACCGCCGCCAATTAGTTACCTGCCAGTGTCACAAATAAGGTATAATTATGCTCATCTGACGTAATTAAATGCCTAAAGCCCTGAGCTTCCAAGGCTCTGCCCCCCCCCCCCGAACCCAACAAATGGCCCTAAAGCGGGCCCCTGAATGCTCATCTGACCGTAATTTATTGCCCAGAACCCCTGAGCTTCCGGGTCCGCCCCCTGGACCCCACGCCAATTCGTGACCTGCCAGTGTTACAAATAAGGTATAAAATTATGGTCATCTGGCGATAAATTGATGTATGAACCCTTGAGCTTCTGAGGGTTCCCCCCCCCCCTTTGGACCCAACACCAATTTGTGTCCTGCCAGTGTCACAAATAAGGTATAAAGTATGCTCATCTGACGATAATTTATTGCCCAAAACCCCTGAGCTTCTGAGGGCTCCACCCCCTGGACCCAGTGGCGAATCCAGGCCCCCCCCCCCCTGTGAAAAAAACGTGTGAAAGACACGTTAATTTTACCTTTTTTTGGAGATGGCCCCCCCCCTCTTGAGCACTTAAGAGGGGGGGGGAGTCCGATTTTTCAAATTTTTGAGGACCCCCCCCCCCCTCCCACTGAGCAAAATTTTGGCCAGCACGATTTTCAAATTTGGGCTCCCACCCCTAAGAAATCCTGGGTCCGCGCCTGGTAGTGAGCACTAATTTTTTTTTTTTTTTTTGGGGGGGGGCCCTCGAAAATTTGAAAAATCGCACCCCCCCCTTAAGCGCCAGGGGGGACCATCACCAAAAAAGGTAAAACTTTTTTACACGTTTTTTTTTCCAAGGGGGGGGGGGGCCGGGCCCCCCGGGCCCCTCTTGATCCGCCACTGGGCCTAGAAGTTAATAATAGAACTTGACATGATCGACGCACGGTCAAAAAGTGTCTGAAATACCAATGGCGGATTATCTAGTGGGGGGGGGGGGGTCAAGTCTGAAAAGATCTCTGATTGATACAGAGGAGCAAAGGAAGACTCTCACTTTAAAAATTTGAAAACAGAAAGAAAAAGAGAATTTTTTTTTTTTTTTTAGGAGTAGTTTATCGGGCTATAAAACAAAATCCTTTTTGCTACTAAAACGGCCACTCACATTTTCAATTCATGCTTGGATATGTAATCGAAAAGTTCAGCTGTGATCACCCGCGGCAAGTTTATTTTGAAACAGAAATTATTGTCATCAAAATGTCTCGGCTAAATAGTGCTTCAGCCGAACAGTTGGCTCGATCTTTCAAGACACGTTTCGATGTAAGCATATTGAAACTTAAACCTGTATTATTTTTGCCAAATGTATGATTCCTTGTGCCAACTGCACTCGGCTGCAGCAGAGAGCTAGAGCTAGAGGCAGAGCCGAGTACTTCGACCAAGCATGCCAAGCCGCTCATAGCGGGGTACGGTAGGACCAGCCAGCGTTGATACGTTTCGGTGCACACTTACCTCCAGGCTCGGAGCTCAATCAAGTTTGCCCTCGCCCGCGGCCTCGCGCCCTCGGCCTCGTTTTGTCCTTATCTCCACTTTAGTCTGTTTAGAAGGGGAAAAAAGATAATTTGAAGGAAAATAAAGGGATTCCCCTATTTCAGTGCATTCCAAACAGTTATTTAAGCCTCTTATTTGACATGGTTTGAGTAGGGTAGAGAGCCGACCCTACCTAAATAAGAGGCTTAACGAACGAAAGAGACGGACAATTCGGTCTAGGCCACAGCTAAACTAAAGACTAGACTCTAGTCCACTATAAAGTAACATTTTAACAAAGAGTCAGTAAAAAACTAAAACTTAAAAAAGTAAATAACAATAACATGTTGATGATGATGTTGATGCTATCATCAAATGATCAATAACTTCTTGCTATCATTGGCCTAGGCCTAAGTAAGAATAGACCCTAGACTATAATAATAATGATTACTTATTATTTGTCTCCTTGTTAACGAATGTATAACTGTAAAGTTGTAATGTAACAGTAATGTCATTGGCATTGATTCAGATGTTTGACCTAGATTAAGTTTAACTATAATAGTCTAGAGAGGACGTCTAATAAGTATTATCTATTAGTTTTACCGGTAAATTATCTATGTTATCAAAGGTTTATGAGAATTAGAACCATGGTTTCTATTTCTAGTTGTACTAATCCCAGATAAAATGATTGGGATACATATCTGGATAGGATTAAGAATGATTGATAGCAAGTTCTTTTCACAATACTAATACTATAATCTAGAAATCTATGTGCAGCCTAACTAGTGGCCTACAGGCTACATCTGTGAAGGCCTACATTAGATGTTAAATTCTAAATTACTAAAATTCTATGATTTTTTTTTTTACTTTGTCTTAATTTCTTTTAAACAAAGTGAACACAGAAACATGCTTATTAATCACAGGTCACTGTATACAAAAATTGTATTATATCATGTGATTTCTCAAAAATACAGCCTACAGCTAGGCAATCTAGAGTGTAGACCATAATATCTTTGAAGCTTCTTTGTTCGTAGGAAAGTGTTAACTTTTATGTTTTTGTTTATGAAGATCAGAAAGTGGTTTAAATTTACCTTTACCAATGCAGTGCCTAGTAACACCATAAATATAAATCTAACATGCAATTCATATTTCGTTTTATTAAATTATTATTATTTTTAAACTTTATTTGTTGATATGGTAACAACAGGCCCTTGACTGTCCTTATGTTGATGGAGTAGATGAAACGTGGATCTCAGAGCTTCTTTACCAACCAGGAGAGGCAAGGATAAGATTACTACAATGGTTACTATCAAGGTATGTGTCAGTCTCTTTATTTTTTTAAAACTAAAAATGTGTTCAAAATATGTGTAAATCAAAGCTAGTCTTACACAATTTTTAGGTGCATTATGTGAGTACTGAATACTTCATGATGTAGGGGGTCTACAAACTATTTAAATTAAGATTACTATATTCAATATACCCATGAATGATGAAAATTAGCACTGATGTTAAATTATTCTAACTTTAGAATATTTTGATGGAAGCCTATTTGAGAAAGCTACTTACCAGCGTTCCAAGCCCTAGAATAGATATATATATATACATATATTTATGTTAAACCTTGAACCTTGAAGAATTATTCTCCCAAAAGCGTGAACGCTGTCCTGGAGAGGGCAGTTACAGTTACTTTTCACCAGCTTGTGTTTTCTTTTTGTTTTAGGTATGATGTAAAGTTTGCAGAGATTCTTGACAGCCAGTACTGGACAAGTGAAGCTAAAATGGACACCAGAATACAGGGTGAGTGATTCATTGTCACTTGTTAGTATTGTAGAGGTCAGCTTATGATTTCACTAAGTCTTATAATCTGTGATAGTTCTATACCAGAATGCATGTATTTATCTTTTTCTGAGGAGTCCCTGAAATGAATAGTAAAGCATTGCAAAATTTCGGTTTATTTCTATGCAATATTTGGTATCATGTGTTAACTAGGTCTGTATTTTTGTACATCTTTCCTAGTATTGGAAATATTACATGTATATGGCTGCAATACAGAGTGATTTGTTCAACACCTATGAAATGAATGTATGCTTTTTATTTATTGACTAATAGTAGAAACCTCCCTGTGTATATTTTTTGGGCGCAGCCATGACCAAACTGTGTTCCTGTCTGGGGCTCTGTAGACCTGGTGATGTTGATCTTATCAGGGTAAGTCTCATCATCTCTTCATCAAAATTTGAGGATAATTTCTATTCCTGAAGCATGTAAATCAAGTGCATGAAAAATAGATTATCCCCTTCTTTCTGGAAACTCATTAAAGTCTGGACTACTTTTCATCATACTGATTGTTCCACTAGGTCTGGATGGTCCATTAGAGTGAGAGAGACAGAGAGAGAGAGAGAGAGAGAGAGAGACAGAGAGAGACAGAGGAGGGGGGGGGGGGGGGTGGGGGTTACTGCCTCTCCTTAAACTTATCAAAATTAGAAATCTGATTTTCATGTCTTGTATTTGTAACACCAACCATTTTCCTATGTTTTACAGCTCCATGTCATTTATTCGTGGACTAATCATATGTGTCTTTTTTATATTGATCAGACTATTTATTTCTTTCTTCAATGACTCAATCTATAGTCGTGATAGTCATCTATCTGTTTGGATATAATAAAGAGCTAAGCTTTTTTTTTTTTCACCTTCAGGGAGTCTCTACATCTCATTCAAAGCAGGCATCATTCTGGGATAAGCTACTCGACATTGTAACCATAAGTGATGCATCAGAAGAAACACACCGAGATGTCACGTCCAGTCCAGGAATTGTCAGGTAGGTCTGAATGACCAAACAGCAGGATTCTCCACAGAAAATTGTTCAGCCATAGTCAAAATTGAGAGAAATATGGGCTTGGAGCATATTTTTTTTCTTTAGTCAAAATAAAACATCCTAAAGATATTGAAAGGTTACATACAGTTTTGATTTCAGGAGCATATGATTATAAGAAGAACATTTATTTTTTAATGGTGTAAATTCAAATACTGAATTCATATTGTGATGAGTCCTAACTCAACTGCTTGATATTTCCTCCTTTAACTTTTATTAGTGAGAGCTTACCATTATGGGATCAGTTTTGCCATGACTGTCAATTTGTGTCATCACTGGCACATGGACGAGATCTGCAGGAGGCCTTGTCACCTAAGGTGAATCTCTTTCCTCCAGATATCACACGCATTCTGGCCAAGAGGGCAGCAGATGAAGAACAAAGGTATGTCAGTTATGAGCGCATAGCGACCAGTCGTATCATAGCTTTTTTGAAAGATACTCATAACGATACCTCCGTCCAATGTCATGCAGGTAGCTATAAATTTCTCCCTGAACCAATTAAGGACTGGGTAATCACATAAACTAACTTACTATGTCATTAGGGTAAGCAAAGACTTTTATAAATTCTTCCTCTACCCTCGCATAGTATTAAAGTGAAATACACCTTCTCATTGTGCTAAGACTTGTGCTATTAACAGTATAAATAGTAGTAAACTTAAACTAACACAAGCACTGCATGATCACCATCTTTGTCTCTTATTCCTTTATTCCTATATCTTATGAATTTCAGAGCGGCTCCGCCCAGCATCGATGCACTTTTAGAGATGAGCACACACTTATCTATGGAACTACAGCAAGCAAATCAACATCTCAAAGATCTTCAAAAAGCGGTGAGTGTGTTTTGACTCTGTTGCATCTGCCCATTTGCAGTATCAGTTTGTGTCTAAATTCAGACCTAAACCTGATACTTTGGAAAGAAGAACATCCAGTAGTATCGCTCTATTTTCATATCATAGCTTCAGAAATATGACCTGCTGACCTATGTGCATACTGATTGTTCATTTTTGTTTGTCCTTGTTCTAAATAATCTTTGCTTCTCTAGCACATAGGCTTGGGTTTGAAGCTGAGACCTCTTGCTCTCTTGAGACAACTCCTGTATTCACTGAGCCACTTTGTCTCCTTTGCTTTCTCCTTTCGCAGTATCCTTATCCCACGCCTGATCCTAAGGCATTGAACAAGGTCTGTCAGACCATGAAGCTGGTTCTCTCAGAGCTCGTCCAGCTGGTGACAAGCTTCACCTTCATGTTTGAGAGTGAGATGCGTCAGTTCTGCAACAAGGCTCCGCCTCAGCTGACTCAACTAGGACCAGCCATCAAGAGGGTTCACACTCTGCTTCAACAGTTCTCAGGGGTAAGGATCTCTCTCGTTCTTTCCTCTGTCTGAATCACTCATATTTTTTTTCATCTCTGAATTGTATCCAGACTATGATCAAAGGTTTGTCTCTCGTACACATGTTATTGAAGTCATCTGTATTGAAAGATGCTCCTAATGCAAATCATGAAACACTACACTCTTTGTAAGGAGTAAGATGAAAGTCTCATGGACGTAGTTTGCAAATATGTATTTTTCAACTAGTTATGGTGCAAAGGCACCAGAGTGACATTCATTTTGAATGTGTTTTCCATATCAGATCCAGGAGAGGGCCAAATAATCATTGGTAATGATAACCAATGTTGGGGGGGGGGGGGGGAGGGTAGTCATTTATTTAGAAATTCAAACTTTAACTAAATTGTGTCTTCTGCTAAGCCACAGTTTCATTTCATGTAAAGCCCTGTCACTTCTGTAGACAGGTAAAGATAATTTAGGATATATCTATATATAGTACAGTTCGTATTTATATGTATTTTTATTTTTGTTCTTTTTATTAATTGTTTGATGTAGCTCCTGACCAGTCTACAGTCCATGCACACATCCTACTACAGTATTGTTAATACCAAGGGGATCCAGTCGGAAGAGAGTCGACCTGCAGATCTCATGGGTAAGAAGTAGTCATTTAGTAGGTTTCTAGGACACCTTCCATCTAGATCCCTGGAAAACTAACCACTGGCTTGACTACTCACCCCTGGACACAGACGACTACCTCCTGTACTACTAACCCCATGACTATTTACCTTCCCCTCCCCCCCCCCCCCCAAATCTTCCCCTTAATTAAGAAATTATCCACTGGACATCTACACCATAGATTTATACATCCCAATGTTGTGTGTTAGGAACAAGGAGGCGGGGGAGGAAATAGATTTGTTATTAGTTGTATAAATACATACTATTTTTTAAGATCCACTAAATATATATTTACGGTAAAAAAAAGAAGTCTTGCCATTTGTCAAAAAATATACACATATTATATGTAGATGACACATAAATATTTGTGTAAGGATCAAGATATAAGAAGCCAAATTTAGTTTTTGTTTTGAGGATACCGTAGATTGACTGGAATTGTTGTACAAACGTAGCTAGGCTTGTCACATGAAAACTACAGATATGATATGATGTGGGCACGGATTCAAGGAAGGAAAACTTTGTATTACCTACTAAACTACTACTACTATTGCTACTTTGTACATTCCGGTGTATGGAAATGGTTGCAGTTCAGTTGAGTGTTAATAAACAAAGAACCATGAAATTACCACATTGTCTCAAGGATCATATGTAGATATCTCTACATTAGTAAAACAAAGTTGATTCTCCAACGGATACTGCATGGATGAAGGAATTCGACACGGCAAAGCCCCCGGGCGTGATACTCGCGAACACTGCACAAGTACTAAAGTCTGACGTGACGTGACACAGTGAGTAATTCAATGAAATGAAACTCAGAAGTGAAATCGGCTGAATGAAATGAAACTTTGAAGTGAAATCAGCTAGACTCTACACGTTACTGCTGATTTGAAAGGAATGTTTATCAAGTAAATTGCAATTATGGATGGGAATACTACTCCCAAATCCCCAGATGGGAAAGATAAGGAACTGAGCAATGCCAATGGCAATGAAATTGATCATGTCGTGAAAGATAAGGAACTGAGCAATGCCAATGGCAATGGTATTGATCATGTCGTGAAAGATAAGGAACTGAGCAATGCCAATGGCAATGATATTAATCATGTTGATGATAAGGAGAGTGGTGCAACAAGGAGCTTTACTAGAGAAAGAGATCTAGAGAATGGGAAAGATAATCGAGATGACTCAGAATCCACATTGTCATTATGTGGATCATCGGCCTCTTCTACCAGTACTGCAAAGAAGAGAGAGAGAGAGAGAAAGAAGGAAAGACAACTTAAAGCAAAGTTGATAGCCTTACATCAAACGAGTGAACTTGAGAAGAAACTGAGAACATTTCAAAAACAACATGAAATGGAACAAGCCGAACAAGAAATACAAATTGCAAAAGAACAGGCTGAGAATTTGAGAAAGAGTCAGCTTTTGAAGGATGAAGAAGCGGAGATTGAAAGACAAAAGACTGCTATTCTCTTGCAAGCAGAATTAAAGCTTCTACAACAAGACTCAGAGGAAGAGCTACAGAAATGGAAAGTGGAAGGTGATTCTTTCCGTGATCGTGGACAAGAACGAGAACAAGTAAGAGGTGATTCTTTCCGTGATTGTGGACAAGAACGAGAACAAGTAAGAGGTGATTCTTTCCGTGATCGTGGACAAGAACGAGATCAAGTTAGAGGTGACTCTTTCCGTGATCGTGGACAAGAACGAGGACAAGTTAGAGGTGACTCTTTCCGTGATCGTGGACAAGAACGAGAACGAGTTAGAGGTGATTTTGTCGGTGATCGTGGACAAGAACGAGATCAAGTTAGAGGTGACTCTTTCCGTGATCGTGGACAAGAACGAGAACGAGTAACAGGTGACTCTTTCCGTGATCGTGGACAAGAACGAGAACAAGTAATAGGTGATTCTTTCCGTGATCGTGGACAAGAACGAGAACAAGTTAGAGGTGATTCTTTCTGTGATCGTGGACAAGAACGAGAACGAGTTAGAGGTGATTTTGTCGGTGATCGTGGACAAGAACAAGAACAAGAACAAGCCTTTCGCAAGGAACCTGTGGGTGATGAAGAAGGAACCACCAAACAGATGCTTAGGGAGATGATTAGATTCACTGCGGAAAACAGTCTACCATCGCCAGATCTCGAGCCGTTCAATGGGGATCCACTTGATTACCTTACCTTTATAAGGAATTTCGACTATGTGGTTGAAAAAAGAACTGATGAACCTTTCAGAAGACTAGAGCTTCTACTAAAATACACACAAGGAGAAGCGCATGAGCTTATTCGAGAATGCCCCCACATTCAACCAAGTAACAGGGCATATGAGACAGCCAAGTCCATGCTTCACAGACACTATGGAAAGCAGAGTATCATAATAAATGCATACAAGGAAAGGGCAATTGCCTGGGAGCAGATACGATCAGGAGATAGACTTGGACAGACATGATAGGAAGGTATGGTATATCCCTCACCATGGGGTGTATCATCCCCAAAAGCCAAGAGAGATTAGAGTAGCCTTCAATTGTCCTATCAGCTACAAAGGAAAGTCTCTTAATCAGGAACTCCTACAAGGACCAGATCTAACCAACAGATTGCTTGGTGTTCTCCTCAGGCGGAGGAAAGAGAAAGTGGCTATAATGGCAGATATACAGTCTATGTTCTATCAGGTGAAAGTTACACCAGACCAATGCGACATGCTGCGTTAATTGTGGTGTCCTGAGGGGGATATCACCAAAGAGCCAGTAGCCTACAGAATGCTAGTCCATCTTTTTGGGGCTACATCTTCTCCCAGTTGTTCGAATTATGCCCTGAAAAGAACAGCAAAGGACAATGAAGGTTGTGCAAAGGAAGAAGTCCGAGATGCCATACAGAAAGACTTCTACGTTGATGATTTTCTTAAGTCAGTATCAACACCCCAAGAAGGCATTGATCTAGCTGAATCATTAAGACAAGTGTTGTCCAAGGGAGGCTTCAAGTTAACCAAATGGTCAAGCAACAGACGAGATGTCTTGGATTCCATTCCAAAGGAGGAGCATGCCGTGGAATTGAAGGATATGGACTTACAAAGGGAAGTTCTTCCAATTGAACGAGCTCTTGGTGTAAGATGGGATCCAGAAAATGACCAGTTAGGCTTCAAACTGAAAGAAATGTCAAAAAAGGCTACTCGCCGAAACATCCTATCAGTAATGAGCTCAGTCTATGATCCCTTCGGGCTAGCAGCACCATTCGTTCTGAAGGCTAAGATAATTCTGCAAGAATTGTGCCAAGCTAAATTGGACTGGGACCAGTCAATCCCTGAAAAGCAGAAAATGGAATGGGAACATTGGATGAATGAGCTACAAAATCTTGACCAGGTGAAGACTGAAAGATGTCTAAAACCAAAGAACTTTGGTATAGTGACAAACAGACAGCTGCACCACTTTGCCGATGCTAGCATGGATGGCTATGGTGTTGTGACCTACTTGAGACAGACAGATGAGAATGAAGAGGTTCATGTGGCATTTTTGACAGCTAAAGCCAGGGTTGCCCCACTGAAGCCTCACACTATTGTTAAGATGGAGTTAACTGCTGCAACACTCGCAGTAAAGCAAGACAGTATGATCAAGAGGGAAATGAATATGGAGTTGGATGAGACAGTATTTTGGACGGACAGTCAAACAGTTCTGAAATACATTGCCAACGAAACTGCCAGATATCCAGTATTTGTGACAAACAGACTGAGTATCATCCGAGATGGATCAGAGACAAATCAGTGGAAGTACATTCCTACCAAGTTAAACCTGGCAGATCATGCATCCAGAGGATTGGATGCCAGTGAACTAACCAAGAAGAAGGAATGGTTTGAAGGCCCAGAATTCCTAAAGCAGTCTGAAGAAATATGGCCATCTGAGGGTGTGAAAGCTCCAGTAAGAATGGAGAAAGCTGATGATACTATGTCAGGAGATTTGGATGAGACTCACATTCATGCCACAATGATAAACAAAGAGGATCCAATAAGTGCACTCCTGTCGCACTATTCTGATTGGGATAAGCTGAAACGAGGAGTTGCCTGGATATTGAAGTTCAAGAAAATGCTACAAGGAAAGGGGAAAGGAGTAGATGGCAATTCCAGTGAAATGTTCAGCCTGACAAATAAGGACGTTGAAGATGCCGAAGTCGCAATTGTAACTTGAATCATTCCCAGAGGAAATGAAACGACTGGCTGGTCACGGAGAAGAGAAAGGAGTACCAAAACGCTCTACCCTTAGTAAACTTGATCCAGAATTGAGCAATGGGTTACTTCAAGTAGGTGGAAGGTTGCAGAATGCCCAGATTCCAAGCAGTGCTAAACATCAATACATCCTACCAAAGAAGCACCATGTAACCACTCTTTTAATGCAATACATCCATAGGAGAGTTGGTCATCAGGGACAAAATCCCGTGGTAGCTGAATTACGACAGAAATTCTGGGTGGTAGGGGCTGGAGTTTTAGCACGAAACATAGCAAGGAAATGCATCATTTGTAGAAAGAACCAAGGAAAGGCTGGTCATCAGAAAATGGCAGAACTTCCAAGAAGTAGAGTTCAGAGTGACGAGCTGGCGTTCACCAGAGTTGGCATGGACTATTTTGGTCCTTTTGAAATAAAGTGTGGAAGAAACATAAGGAAAAGATATGGCGTAATTTTCACATGCCTGTCCTGCAGAGGGGTGCACATTGAAGTTGCATCGAGTCTAGACACAAGCTCCTGTATTGAGGCTATTCGTTGCTTCATCAGCTGCCAAGGACCTGTGAAAGAGATGTTCTCGGATAATGGTACAAATTTAGTAGGAGCTGAAAGGGAACTGAATTAGGGAACTGAAGCAGGCATTAAAGGAGCTGAATCAAGACCAGCTAATCAACTTTCATGCAAACCATGGCATGAAATGGCATTTCAATCCTCCTGCTGCTTCCCATCAGGGGGGAGTATGGGAACGCCAAATTAGAACAGTCAGAAAGATACTGTGTGCAGTCATGAGAGAGCAGTATCTAAAGTCCTACCAGAACGAGGAGCAGCTCCATACATTCATGTGTGAAGTGGAGGCCGTCATAAATAGTAGGCCTCTTACCCTATGTTCAGACAACCCAAATGATCTGGATGTAATCTCACCAAACAGCTTGCTGACTATGAAGGGTTCAGCAACGCTACCTCCAGGGATCCTCGACGACAAGGACATTTACGCAAAGAAGAGGTGGAAACAGATGCAGTACTTGGCAGACCTATTCTGGAAGAGGTGGGTACGAGAGTACCTGCCTTCTCTACAACGCCGACAAAAGTGGCTGCAGCCAAGTCGTAACCTTCAGGTGGGGGACATTGTACTCATCATAGACGAAACAGCGCACAGATGTTCCTGGTCCATGGCCCGAGTGCAAGAGGTTATGCCAGACCACAAGGGGTTCCTCCGCAGAGCGAAAGTGAAAACTGCAACAACATCGCTAGTAAGGCCAGTAACCAAGTTGTGTATTCTACTGGAGCAGGAAATTTGAATGGAGTTTGTCTCAAATTTATGAAAGGATCTACATGTATAATATGTGAAAGTGCATTTAAGTGGATGTGCTTTGAATCATTATTGGAGGAGGATATCAAGCAAATGAAGCAAATTGTGTTTGGATCAAGCGAACAAGTGGAATTCAGAGCGCCAGTGAAAATTTGTGTTTGTGCTAAAGTGAAAAGTAAAATATTAATAGCCCTTTGGCTAATAATTGGTAATCATTTGTGATAATGAGCCAATACAGGATCAAATCATGTTTAATAGTGAATTTGGATCTGATCAACACATCTTTAATTGCGAATTTGCATTGGATCAACACATGTTTAATCACGAATTTGCATTGGATCAACACATGTTTAATCGCGAATTTGCATTGGATCAACACATGTTTAATCGCGAATTTGGATTAGATCAACACATGTTTAATCACGAATTTGGATTGGATCAACACATGTCATATCGCGAATTTACACAGGATGATTTTGTCAACACGCGAATTGCAAGAGAGCAAAGTTTTACGCGATTTCAAGAGAGGACACTTCCATGAAAGGATGTCAATTTAAGACATTGAATTATGATAAGTCAGCACCGAATATTGTTAATGCTTTGCAAGAACGATAAAGGATATGAACATGAACTGGAACGAACTAGTGAACTTTCAAACTGTTTAAGTTGAACTCTGTGAAATGCTATTCATGACTGAAATGTTTGTTTTGAAATTTGATGTTTTATAATCATACATGTACATGTACATATGTAAGTTTGTTGAGTTTCAATATTTCTTTTGTGTTATCACAATTGGGATGTTAAAATTGAGGATGATTGAACATACATGTACACAAATAATTAAAAGAGAATATTTTGTTTAAAATTTGTTCAAGGTAATGATTGAATTAGCCTCAGAGTTAAAATCAGATACATTTTGTTAATATAAAACATACCAGAAAGAGAGAACTCAAATAGGGTTAAAGGGAGAAAGTGTTTTGAAAACAGTGTATTTGTTCACATAGAAAGTTAGAAATTTCATTTCATTAGGTGTTCAGAACATTAACATGAATGAAAAGATTTAAATATATGTGTCTGCATTCTGCAGTGTAGAGCATTATAAGGAAGTTCAGATTGTGTTATATTTAAATTGAGGCCGGATTAACATGTTTAAGTGAAGTAAGGAATGTTATTTAGTTTTATGTGCAAATGGCAAGGATATTTGCATGTGCTTAGTAGTCAATCCACAATGTGACTTCAGACATGCAGGTAAACTTTGGACAGGTTGATATACAAATAGAAAGAACAAGGTTAATGTTCAAGTCGAAGTACAAGAGTCATGTATTACATGTATGAAGATGGTATTATGCACAATGCTAAATATTTCCTTTTCTCTATTGTTTGAAAGTACATGTGCATCTACGTTATTTCGATGTTCCTTTTATGTTGATGTACATGTACATCAGTTCAGTTCAATTGAAGGTGTTCAGAAATTGTTTTATGTTTGAGTAAAAACAAAAGGAAAAATGTTAAAGGTAGTAAATACAGCCACTAATTATTCTTCTTTTGGAAGAACAATTCTTGTGTTTGGATTTTATATTACTGGTTTATTTCCAGAGTTATTTTTTGAAAGGCAATTATAACGAAAATGGTGTTCTTGATAATTTGAGGTATTACATTTTGACAAAAGTTTGACAGCTATGAGTAAACATTGATTTTGATTTAAAGTTATCATTAATTCATGATTATCTTGTATTGGATGCTTTTGTTGAGTTGATACAGGAATGTTTATAGTAATCCAGGGATAAAGCTTGATTTTGCAGAATTTAGTGTATTCTGTGCATTTAGATAGTAGAAATTGGCAGAGTATAGAGAAATAAGTGTTACATCTCATTGTGATTATGATCTGTTTTGGAAACAATTAGGTATTATATAAATAGAAAATGTTTGAATTTAATTTTACCTAGGTTATGAGACAATATATAGAAAATGGTTGTAAACATTTGATAATACATGTAGATAACAGTTGGTATTTTGTTAATGTACATCAGTGGTGGACAATTAAGTTTTGGTTAAATAGATGTTAATCGTTGCATCCTCTAGCTGCAACTGGGGGGAAAGATATAAGAAGCCAAATTTAGTTTTTGTTTTGAGGATACCGTAGATTGACTGGAATTGTTGTACAAACGTAGCTAGGCTTGTCACATGAAAACTACAGATATGATATGATGTGGGCACGGATTCAAGGAAGGAAAACTTTGTTTTACCTACTAAACTACTACTACTATTGCTACTTTGTACATTCCGGTGTATGGAAATGGTTGCAGTTCAGTTGAGTGTTGATAAACAAAGAACCATGAAATTACCACATTGTCTCAAGGATCATATGTAGATATCTCTACAATTTGCTTTCAACAATGGATTTCTTGACATGTAATCATTTTCCTATATTGTCTTATAGCCTCAGTGAGTCGCTCTGCTCTGAAGTCCTACAGTGAGTTTGTAAGTATCATGGAAGACTCCATGAAACGTCAACATAACACTTGGTCAGAAAGTAAAGTCCTCAGTGATTCCTTTCGATGAGCAGTGTTCAGATGCCATACTGCAAGTTAAATATTGTATGAGACTCTATGCAGAGATAACATGATACATTGTCAGAGTATAGACTTGTCAGTGAGTTGTCACGATGGAAATAGCTTTTACTCTGAGCTAATAAGCTTCATAAAAGACTCTAGGCAGAAACATTTTGCTTAAGACATATAGTGGCTCTGAGTCTGACTTAGTTTTCATAGACATTAAATGTAGAGACAACAGGATACATGATCAGAGAGTAGATTCCTCAGTGATACCTTCAGATGATTGTTGCTCAGAAGTCATGCTGTGAGCTGACAAATACCAGCGTCATAATGACTCTTTGTAATGAGTTTTCAGTATCATGGAGCGACAAAGTGATCATGACATGGTCAGACAGTAAAGTCCTCAGTGACTCTTTTAGATGAACACTGCTCTGAAGTCATACTTTAACATCCTTCCAGGACAGGATTTATATTTAGGGCTTAATTTATCATACACTGTCCTTCAAAATTATTTATATTTTCCTTTTATTGCTACATTGGTCAAATATTATGCAATATCTCTCAAAACAATATACCTGGGCGAGAATGTTATCAAAAAGTTGAAAAAATTGTCAATTTTGATAAAAAAACAATGACTTTGAATCTTTCAACTGGTTGCCAATTCAAGGATTGTTCAGCTTATTTTCCTTTTTCAAATTCCTAGCGTCAAACAGAATATAATCGTTTATTTTCGAATGTGTGCATTTTGCCCTTTCTTCTCATGCATGTGGCATATTTTTAGGGCTCAGAATCAAAAGTACAATGTGGAATGATTGTCGCGAAAGGGTTAAGTTAAAGGTACTATGTCCCTTTTGCAGCGGCATAGCCAACCTCAAATGCTGTAGAACTTTGCAGGGATTATGAATATGTCATGTATGTCCTTTCTGTGAAATTTAAACGTTAGCAGTGTCCTCATATTCAAATTATGCAAGGAAACCCGTTTACTTGCTAGACTTCACTGTCAGACACTATTGAGTGACTGACTGGCTTTTTTTCTTCTTTGGTAATAACATACATGAAAAGAGTTGTAAAGGGTACATGAGCATTTGTCTACATCAATAACCCACTTCTTGTGATGGCCAAGATTAAACTGATTGAATCTTTGCGCAGCATAAAACGTATGACCATTCGGTACAATTATTGTCTGAAAATCAAGACTATTACTTTTGGGCTCTATAGCCCTAAAGTCGATTTGACAACTAATAGTCGTTATTTTCCCACTTGAAGACATTTTCAAGCCCCACCTTTTTTAGGGAAGTTCTAAATTAGTATTATCTTTCAAATGCAGTTGGAATTTAACTTTTTCATTTTTTTTGGCCTGCAAATGGGACATAGTACCTTTAACAAGTTTCATAAAAATTCTGTCAACACATAACCAGAGAGTAAACACTTCAGATAGTCCTGTAGATGACCAGTGTCATACAATGAGTTTTCGGTATCATAGAGATTAAAGTTCTCAGTGATTCGTGTAGATGAAAATAGCTTTTAAATCTTACCCTGAGCTACCATGTTTCACGAAAGACCCTGCAGTGACAACATGAAACATGGTCGAAGTGGCTCCTCAAGATGGATATTCCTCAAGCTTTTATGTCATGATGTGAGTGTAATAGAATACTGCACTACAAAGATGAATAGAAGGGTCACTGAAATATGTAGCACTTTTTTATGTTTAAAATATAAAATGTGTAGGTAAATTCAGCATGTTTTGTTTCTTTATGTTTGCTAAACAGTATTAGGAAAAAGGAAAACTGTTGAATGTTAAATGGAACATACCTTCAAATAGTTCCTTGAATAGCTTTACATACTGTAACAATGTGTATTTTATACTGAGATTGATTTTAAAATTGTTGGGAGTCTTAAGCCAACATAGTTTTTGCCTTTGTATATTACCATGACAATGTTCTTTTTTATTCTATTGTTGTACATAAATATATTAATCAGATGTAAATATGTTAAATAACGGTACTGTACTCGTTTTCAAATACATATGATCTTTGTTATATGAAAGAATGTATGTTTGAAGGAGTTACTCTGTATTGATGTGAAAGGGACATTCTCGTGGGTAGAAAATATTTGTTGAAAATAAACAAATAGATGAATTAAGTGATTGATTGTTATACAACACCTACGTGGATCCTTGTCATTTGATTGGACGATTGTTGGTCACATGATATTCAATAGATGGTATATTGCACGGTCGTGCATTTTTGGTTATATGCGCCGTGCATTTTTGGTTAATTATATGCAGACTGCGTACCTCTCTGCTGCATGTGCGCGCGCGTATCCCTGCGTGTATCTGACGCGAAGGCAATCTGCATGTAATTGAGAAGGCTTGACTCGAACTATTTGTTGATTAACGTTCTATTAGGTCTTCTTCGATGTTGTATAAAACAAATAATGAATGTTTTTCATTCGTTTAATAGTGCAAATATTTTCATTCGTTGAAAGATTAACGTTAATTCTATTCAACTCGGCTGACGCCTCGTTGAATAGAATGTTAATCTTTCAACTCATGAACATATTCGCACTATTGAACTCATAACCATTCATTATTTGTATAATAATCAATTGATTGGTGAATGAATTGAATGAATTAAACATATGAGCTGAAAGGAGGAATGAAAGAGGAAAAGAGAGAAAGAACTGTGATCAGATTAAAGAGTGTGTACCAAATAGGGAAATAAGGAAGAAAAGATGAGGGAAAGTGAATATGTAGAAATAAAATAAACATGGTAAGCATAATAATGAATATGACAAGGAAATGAGATGTGTTCCAGGCAAGATTAAAGAGGGAAAATGACGGGGGGGGGGGCGGATACAAGAGAGGTTTGATTCATTTGTGAAGGATGTGTGGTGACAGGGAAGCCCCGCCCCCCCCCCCCCCCCCCTCTAATTAAAAAAAAGAAGAACGAGTAATTGACTGTCGATGATCGTAGTAACGATAAGTATGTTTACAAAGTATAATTATGTAGTTCATTTATACAGTGTTGATATAACCACCTGTTTTCTTAGTTTGAATTGACATTCCTTCAATTTCACCTAATTACTCAGATTTTTGTTAAATTGTGAAGATTTCTCCCAAGAATCCTTTATGGCAATTAATTAAGATGGGATATCACTTGCATTATAATCTAACATGCATACATGTAACATCGGTTGTTGCTATATCAGGCGAGCAACCGGAAAGCTCTGAAGTCGTTAAGATATATAAGTAAACTGGACCCCGTCGTACAAAGAGTTGCGATTGATCCGAAACAATCGTAAATCCTCTAATCAATTGCAAGTTTGCAGTCCCCTATCTCTGATGTACATTAATTGTTACGATTGATTACAATAATTGATATCAATCGCAAATAAGTTGCGATCGATCAATTTCAACTCTTTATAAGGCGGGGCCCAGGTCTTTATAAGGTATCCTAAAGACGCACAGGGTCGGAGCATCAAACTCAGCAAATCATAATTATTCGAAGCATCTCATTAGTGAAAACAAACTGCAATGAAAAGAATACCGTTTAAAAAAAAGTAGGCCTATGGATAATTTAAGTTTTCCCCGTTTAATTGGTCTTTAAAAAAAGATGTATATTGTTGGAATGCTCTGTGATCATTCCCAAATACATAATCCTGAAATTGAAAATCTTCGAGAGAAAAAAGTTCCTCCAATCAGACCGCATGTATAATCAAAATCAGACGCATTATTCCCTTCCCCCTCCCTCCCTCCCCCTCTCACTCTCTCTCGCTCCCTCTCTCTCTCTCTCTATCTCGCTCTATCTCTCTCCCTCTCTCTCTCACACTCTCTATCTCTCTGTATGTCTCTTTCTCTCTTAAATTTCTCCGTCTCGAGACCCTTTCTCTGAGGTGCGATCTTAATGATCACATCGAGAACCTCACCTGGAAAAGAGATAGAGAGAGAGGGGGGGGGGGTATCGAAAGAACGACTGGGAAGGGAGAGAGAAGTATAGAAGAAGAGAAGAAGAAGAAGAAGAGAAAGGGAGAGGATCGAGGGATCAGGAATAGATTGAGAGGGGTATATATACAGAGATACGGAGATAATCGGAAATATAGAGAGTGAGAATCAAAGGAGAGATTATGGTATATAAATTATGAAGCCAATTATAGGAGGGAGAACGGTAAGAGAATGAGACCATGGAGATTATAAGCTTAATATACCTCTTCTATAGAAGCGGGGAAGAGATGGAGACTATGTAGCTCTCTCTCTCTCTCTCTCTCTCTCTCTCTCTTTATACTCTCTTTAAAAAAAGAGTGAATTTTCACTTTATTTTCACTTTCTTGGGAGTGACGTCCGTGATCACTTGTTTAGGAGTGAAAATCGATTGATTTTAGAATGCTCTCTAAGAAGAAAAGAGTGAATGTTCACTCTATTTTCACTACATTTTCACTCTCTAGAGGAGTGACGTCCGTGATCACTCGATTTTTTTTAGAGAGTAGGCTCATTGATCACCCCTTAATTGCCATTCTCGATCATGGCTTTAATGTAATAATTACTCCCTTTATCTAGATTCTATTCCCATCTAATTAGTCCCATTATGTTCACAGAGTGGTGCCATCGCACGTATACGTACGTCCATGGCGCCATATTCTTGTAATTCGATGCCCATTTCGAGAAACTCAGTTAATAATTAACAAAGTATTTAGGCCTACTCTGCTCGTCTCTAGCTCTCGGTTGATAAGCTTACAGTTTAACTCCGGATGCCGTCGATATAATTATGTCATCAGATTTTCTCTCCAAAGCTACCTAAGACAGATTATAATTCTATAGGCACCTTGCTAATATTTGCGCCCGGTGTTTGTGATATGAAATAGTTTCATTATTATTACTATTATTATTATTACAAGAAGTAACATTAAACTAATTTTCGTTATTATTAATATTATCGCTTATGAAGTATATCTCCTAAAATTAAATGGTGTCGATCTCCCTAAATATGCGCTGTTTAATAATTGTATTGCCGACAAACTTACTTCCTTGGATGAATTTGTTTGCCCTCAGACTAAAAGGTGTGGAAATCAAGACTATTATCGGTGCTTCGAGACTCCGAGCACCCCACGACCGTACGATAAATTATTTGAGCAGCTCGCTCGTAATCTGAGTGCTTGATCATGCATTATGCACACTTCACTCACTTTGAGTTCGCTCGCACGCAATCGAAACCACACCGGATATTTTGTGTGTGCTCCATGCTCCCCACACAGCAGACACACACACACAAACCATCCTGTTGAGCCTTGTACGAGTCTCATATGCATACTATATGCATGGGCATCATACACGCTCACAATGTACGTATAGTGAGATGAATATACGAGTTCAATTAAGAGACAGAGACAGCATGCTGCTACAAAGAATTCAACCAATGTTTGTTTCCTGCGGTTTTCGCCCATTCTGTATCATATTACAACACATTTATCTAGAAAGTACCTGAGGTGAGTTTTTTTACATCAATGTTAAAGTGATCGGTTTGATAAGGCAACTAACAATTGTGCCAGTTAATTTAATTTGTCTCAAATTAGAGCTCTGTATGAGACTCTGTATGATATTATGTGCACGTTGATTGTGGGCAAGTCGTTTGAGTGATGAATGAGTCATACACAGAGCCTCATGTGCACGCCTTAACTGCATGAGATAAATCGGTTAGATTCTGTGCTTGATTTGTCGATATGATGCTGTGAAATGATAATAAATGTTCTTTTGTAATTATATTTATATGGTTTATATTTAAATGTTCTTTTGTAATTACATTTATATGTTTTATATTTAAATGTTCTTTTGTAATTATATTTGTTTTATATTTAAATGTTCTTTTGTAATTATATTTATATGTTTTTAAAGTATATATATTGTATACAAAGATGAGTACGCGTATAGATAGCATTGTTCAGATGAGAGAAAGTGGTATTGACTTCAATGCTAGATGTACAATTAAAGATAATCTGGGAGTCCACCCTGAATTGGTTTTCATTCAATCAGAAAATAAAACGGCTCTGTACAAACGCATTTTACGACCTCCCCTCCCGTTTGCCCTTGTGACTAAAAGTTGATTACATTTTCCCATGAATTTGATTATTGCCAATTTGTATTTTATGACAACTTTAACAACTCTTTCCTATTTTTTATCGGATATTGCTCAATCTTTCATTGAATATTCGATTGTAACTTTTGTCAAAGTTGTATTAGCCTATTTAGTATTTACACAAACCACAGAACAATGTTTCGCTAGTGTGTTTCCGACAGTGCCCCAGTGGAGCTTCAGTGGGGTTAATGATAATAATTACTACTAATTTTGGATTTATATAGCGGTTTGATCCGTATATCGTCTCTAAGCACTTTTTTTTTGGGGGGGAGGGTCCAAATTGTGAGGAAATTTAGCAGCAAATCATCCAGCCAGTGAATAAGCGGGGGGGGGGGGGGGAAAAACTTTATTTTTTGCCAGGGGAGGGCCGCTTTAGTTTTTGGTTTAAAAAAGGTAAAATTAACGTTACCATCTTATGTTTTAACGGGATTTTTTGGGCTAGGGGGCGGGGGGCGGGCCCGTCGGCCCTCTCCCCGTGGATCCGCGCCTGGAGTGGCATGTGTAGATTAATGCCTTACCAAAGGACATTAGTGCCGTGTCGAGGATCGAACCACAAGTGCTTAAACTACCCGACAAGTTCTTCAATAACCAGAATTTGTAAAAGAGTAACAGCATTTTACGTTTTGATCGTTAAAACTTCAGAAGTATGATGACTATCTTGAAATCATATTTGGAGATTGATACTTTGAATATCAAAATTGATAAATCCATGTGAATCTGTGTGTATCAGGAAATTGATGCAGACTCAACAATAGCACTGTACATTAAAATCACTGGAAAAAAAATCCGCGCCCCTAAAGAAAATGAAAGAAAAGACAAAGGAAAAAGAAGGAAAAAAAAACACCATATATAATTCATATGTATATATAATTAATACATAATTATATATATCATGCGAAAGGAAATGAGCTTATAATATTAATAATTCGAATACAATTTGACGCCGTGTCCTATGTGCGCTCATCGTTTGTGCTTTGCTGTAAATATTTTATGCTCACATAATAGGTCTTTATAATCTTTTTCTTGTTTTTTCCGTTAATTTTGTTTTTGTTGATTTCTCTAATTTCTCGATAAATAATGTGTCATGGTTGTTGCCCCAACCATGAGTTTGTATTGACAATTCTTTAGGGGCTCCTTACCCCATGTTTTTATATTGCCATGAATTATTGTTGAATATGTATTTTTATATGGTTGAAATAAATTGAATTGAATTGTCTATATTTAGTCAAAGTGCGCCATTGCTGTCCTCCTTTTTGAAATGTTTGCAAAATGTCAACAATGTCTCCGCCGGACCACTGGCTTAGAACGATGCCTTAATTATCTGTTAGACCATGGATACAGTGGATTCGGTGACATGCACATAATTTTATTCATTCCTTTGTTGGGGCAGGGAGATGGGGCAGTGAGTTTGAACAATGAAAATCCCGTGCTTCAGCTGAATCAAAGCGAATGCTTTGGGATACTGATGTATAAGTTACGATAGAATTTAATGCAAACAAGTGCAACAGCTTTATCAAATAAATACAATTTGAAAGGAAATGGCAGAACAATGATTGCGTAGCTTAAAATCAAGGTTCCTCACTGCTGTCCTCCCTTTTGCATTTTTTTCTCAAAGGTTGAACAAAATATTCTCCGCGGCCCGAGGCGGAGATCCGGGGCGGGGGGGGGGGGGGGGAACACTTCCCCCTCACTTTTTTAGGGGGATCGTCCCCCCCCCCCCCGATAATTTGAAAAAGTGCTAAATTAAAGTGTATAGTAAATACTGACTAAAGACTGCAACAAACTTTTAGGCTCTGAAGGCCGAATAGTGCAGCGTTTAGACAAATAAAATGCAACAATCTTCTCGCTCGCGAGCTACGCTCCCTCTCGTACGTTCAAAGTGTGCAAGTAAATTGACGGTACATTGCAAAATGTATTTGAAAATTCTTTTAGCATCACTCACGTAATAATATTAGATCATTGAATAAAACATAAATGAATTGCATTTACATTCTATAAAGCACAAATTTGATATAATTTCCCTTTCAGAGTTTTGGAATGTTACTAGTGTAGACACATTCCCATTGACAGATTATGTTTTGGAGGTTAACTGTCGCCAGGGGAATGAGAGAGGAGGTGGAGTAGGAGCATACATTCACAAACAAGTGAATTATGAAATACTTGAATTTAACGTTGCCTCATGCAGAAAGTTTGTGGTTAAAAGTGTCTAAGAATAATATTGATACTTTGGGAGGTGTGATTTATAGGAAACCAAATATATGAACATTGATCATGATTTCTAAATGGCTTACTTGGTGTATTAGAAAATATAAATATTGGAAGAGCAAATGTAGTTTAATAGGTGATTACAATATTGATCTTTCACTAACAGGTACGCCAAAGATATCTGATTTTTGAGCGCAATAGAATCTACAGAATGCAGCAGATTATTTCGTCACCAACCAGGATAACAAATTTGACTTCGTCTCTCATTGATCATGTGTATACTAATGTTCATAATTACGCCATTCATATTCAGGCGTTATTGAAAGTGATGTTTCAGATCATTTTCCCATTTTGTTATTTTAAAGGTAAAAATGGTTCAGGAAAGAGCTTTTTTGGTAAGGAAGGTTACTCGATCCTAATTATAGAAAGTACAACGTCTGTCTCAGGCGCGGATTCAGGATTTCTAAGGGGAGGGGGCCCATTTTTTTAAATTTTTTTTTTTGCTCCCGAAAAATTGAAAATCGCGCCGGCCAAAAAGTCGCTCAGTGTGGTGGGGGGGGGGGGGGGGGGGGGGGGTGGGGGGGGGGGGGAGGGGGGGGGGGGGGGGGGGGTGGAGGGGGAGGGGGGGGGGTGGGGAGGTGGGAGGGGGTAGTGAGCAGATTTTTTTGTTTTTTGGCCTCGAAAATTTGAAAATTTTCACACCCCCCCCCCCCCCTTGAGCGCCAGGGGGGGGGGCATCCTCCCAAAAAAGTAAAAATCACGTGTTTTTACACGTTTTTTTCCCGCTCCCCCCCCCTCTCCCCCCTGGATCCGCCACTGGTCTGTCTATTTCAAGAAGATCTGTCAAAAATATATTGGGAGCATATAGATATATGAAAATGTGAATGTATTTTATGAGAATTTTTTATAACATGTTTGTAAATGTGTGTGATAAACATGCACCGACTCTGACATTTATCACTTCAAAGCAAAGAGATCTACACCAAAAAAGCTTGGATATCAACAGTATTGTAAAATCTATCAAGAAGAAGCATAATTTGTATAACAACAAATATAGGTCATCAAATTTTAATGAAGAGTATGGATATGAATTCAAGAATATAGAAATATGTTAGTAACTATTATAAAGAATGCTGAAAGAATGTATTACAGCGATTCCTTTAGCGAAAATAGAAATAATATGAGGAAGACCTGGGGAATTATCAAAGAGTTAATAATAGTAGAAATGATAAAAACAAGAAAACAGAGATTGAACAGTTAGTTATTTGTGATGAGGGAACGAATAAAGTTGTGTCTTCAGATGAGGGCATAGCTAATGAACTTAATAATAATTTTGTTTCTATTGGATCAACATAAGCAAAAAAGACTCCAACTGTTAATCTTGATTTTGAAAACTATTTAGCTAGAAGATAGGAAAACTCCTTCTTTGGAGAAACCCATAAAAGAAACTGAAGTTTTTGATAATCTAAATGCTCTTGATGCTAAGAAATCCCATGGATATGACAAATTGCCAGTAAGATTAATTGAGGATGCAACACCCTATAATTGTTGCGCTACTGACGTACATGTTCAATTTGTCATTAGAAAGGGAGAGTTCCCAGATGCATTGAAGACAGCAAAAGTGACTCCTTCATACAAAAAAAGGACCAAGACCGACCCTGGAAATTACAGACCCATTTCTGTTCTACGGGTCATTGTAAAAGTTTTTGAGAAATTAGCTAATGGTCGTCTAATTAATTTCTTAGAAACTAACACGATTTTGTATGAACACCAGTCGGTTTTCGCAAGCGATATAGTACGAAGTTATAATTGATAAATATGTAGAAACACTTATAAAATCAATGGATAAAGTAAACCAACGCTAGGTATTTATAGACTTTAAAAAGCATTCGATACTATTGATCATGAAATCTTTGTAGGAAAGTTAACAAATTATGGTATACGAGGCATAGTTTACAATGGTTTCAAAGTTACCTTTCAAATCGATCGCAAGTCTTATGCTACAAGGAAATAATATCAAGTAGGACAAGGATAACGTATGGTGTCCCTCAAGGTTCAGTCCTCGGGCCCACTTTGTTTTTATTATATATTAATTATTTACCATCTCTACTATTTTTGATTTAGATTATTTGCTAATGATTCAAAACC